CAAATCCTAGTCTCGCTTTAAACAGCAGGCGCAGGTGGCAGTACAACATTCAGAGAGCAAAAAGACCTTGCCCTGAAATCGTCCTGGAAACGTCGAATGAGTAAATCCACCCGGGTGGCTGGGTGCACTGGGGCTTACAGGGTACTTTGGGCTTGACCTTTCTGTTTGGAGGCATGACCCAATCAGGATGCACAGAACGGAGGAGGACTTGCCTGTCCACTTGTAGCCTCTGAAGGGCTGAAAAGGCATCGAGCCTGGAACCATCCTCCTTTTCCAAGGAAGAAACAAAACAATCCCAGGCAGGCATTCAGGGAACGGCCCTGCCCGTCTCCACCAGAAGACTCTTCCTCGAGGCTAGGAAGATGCTGGGAAGAAATTGTAGAAGGGGCAGAGGGCTGAAGACACAGTTACTCACCAAACACTTGTGACCTGAAATGGGCTGTGCCCAAGCCTCCCAGGCCAGCCGGTGGCCGGCTCGGCCTGAGCGCTGACTTCTGGCAGTCAGCCGCCTGCTATAAAAAGACACTTGCTAACTCGGGTGATTTCACACACAGCACTCAAGTTTCACAGTGTGCAGTTTCCATTATGTCCTCGCTCTGACAGCCTTTGCAATAGTTTGTAACATTCCTCCAAAATAACTTTATGGCAGCTATTGCCAACTCTAAAAGAAATGTCGGATCGGCTTGTACTATCTAAGAAGAGCTAATAATAGGCTGTGTCCCGGAGTGGTGAGCCTGTCCCTGGAGGGGCAGCTTGGAAGAGTCCCGCGCCCACCTTTTGGTGTCATAATCTATCAGCACGTAGTTCTCCATGGCGAGCTTGAGATCCGGGATTTCTTCACGACCCATATGGAACAGAAATTGCAGAAACAACAATGAATATCATCATATCAGGCTCTGTTTTCCACATTCAACTTTCTTAAACGTTGTTGACTCTCAGTTATAAACACATAAACCCCCATTACTCAACTCTAACCATAAAGCAGAAAAGGGAAGAATATTTCAGAACAACTAATTGAAGTTTATGGTGAAATTGTGACTCGCACAGATTTTATGTGGCTCAAAGTTGAATGATGGTGGCTGTCGGGAGCTGAGTGAACTTATGTTATAGGGTTAGTAGAACCAAGTGGCTCAAAGCTGAGCTGGAAAAGCAATGTATCGACTAGAAACTAAAGAGAACTATTATTTGAAGAATTCGCTAGTCCCAAAACACATGAGGTTCTTCAACACACACACTGCAAGAAGAACGAGACGAGAGGGACTCCCAGATTAAGAGATGGGAAAACCACCAACTCATCACTGCGTAAGCCTCACTCAGTCCACACACCCTCAGACAAAAACCACAAAAGGAAGGTCATCAGTATAGGTCTCACAGACAGTAAAAGGAGAACAGGATAGTATGAGACATGGTAAGCCACAACCCCAACAACTCAGAAGGAATGAGCAAATCCTTGAAGGTTAAAATTACCAAAATGGACATGGAAGAAACGGAAGGTCCTAACAGCCCTACACCTATTAAGAAACTCATTTCCTTTTTTTATGGAGACAGGATCTTGTTCTGGACACCCCAGGCTGCAGTGCAGTAGCATCACCACAGCTGACAGCAGCCTTCCAACTTCTAGGCTCAAGAGATTCCTTGCCTCAGTCTCCAAGTAGCTGGGATGACAGCACCACCATGCCTGGTTTCCAGTTTCCTAATCAAGTTCCTTCCCACAAGAAATGCTCCAGGGCAGAGATGGATTCTACCAAACATTTAAGATGTGACACTACCCACAAAAACTTGCTCAGAGTTTCACAAGGCCAGCACATCCTGACACCAAACCAGGAAGACAAAGGGTTGCAAAGTCATCATTATGAGAAAGGAAATACACCAACAATCCCTCAGAACACAGACACAAACTCCTTTAAATGTGTTAGTAAGTGGAATTCAGCACACATGGAGGCCCAGAGGGTTCATCCCGGAAGGAAAAGTGTCTGACATTCTCATTAATCGCTGAGATATGCTCCTTAGTGGCATAAAGGGAAACCATGGTGGGGTTGTACACATGTGGGCACAGATCCCGAGGGCAGGCTGGGTGGAGGAGACCACTGAGGCACACAGGACGAAGACCCAGGCGGGTGTCTTGGCGTGAGCGTGCCCAGGGATGCTGACCGTGACCAGTGGGTAGGATGCATGGACAAGTGGTTCTACAGACACCCTGGGCAGGAGCGCCCTCACGCCCAGCGGGTGCCGGGACTCACCGGATGGTCTCGATGATCTCATGAGCAGCATCGTGATGTTTGTCCTAGAAAGGAAAGGGACAGTTCAGACCCTGTCGGGCCATGTGATCTCAGGAGGTGAATGGACAACCAGAGGCCACCCTTCCTCCTGGATGGTCCACGCCATCGGCTCTTTTCATTTCCTACTGATGTGGCTCCCAGGCCCATCTCCCAGGCAGGACCACCAGGGACACTCCGGGACCTGTTCCAGGCATGCTGTGCCCCCAGCAGGGAAGAGGGAACGGGGCGGATAGAGTCTGCAGCTCCAGTCAGCCTGCTCTCCCTGTGGCCACTGGTCCTCACCCCACCCAGCAGTGGCAGGCACCTCGCCTGGCCTCCACGTGCCCACTGGATCCTCCCTGAGGCCCTGTCCACCCAGGAGCCATGGCCTAGGAGGCCCCAGTCCTACACACCAGCACGTGACTGCAAGTGACTGAGCTTCCTGGACCTCTGTTTCTCCATCTGTAAAAACCACAGGGCAAGCACTTGTGGAACACTCATACCCAAAGAACCAGACCCCCTCCCCGGCAAAGGCCTCCATCTGCCCCACTCCCAAGGCCCATGGCCACAGGCAGGTTCTGTCACTCTGCAGGGATTGGCGAGCCTGATGAACAACCATCAGTTGAGAAATAGGGATCACAGCGGCATGGTGGCTCCACACTGTAATCCCAGCAGCTCTGGGAGGCCAAGGCAGGAGAACTGCTTCTGTCAAGAGTTCAAGACCAGCCCTGAAATGCCAGGGCAGTGACTCACACCTGTATATCTAGCAGCTTGGGAGGCCGAGGCGGGCAGATTGCTCGAGGTCAGGAGTTGAAACCAGCCTGAGCAAGAGCGAGACCCCGTCTCTACTAAAAATAGAAAGAAATTAATTGGCCAACTATATATATATAGAAAAATTAGCCGGGCATAGTGGCACATGCCCTGTAGTCCCAGCTATTCAGAGGGTGAGGCAGCAGGATTGCTTGGCCCAGAGAGTGGAGGTTGCTGTGAGCTAAGCTGATGCCCACGGCACTCACTCTAGCCTGGACACAAAGGGAGGACTCTGTCTCAAAAAAAAAAAAAAAAAAGACGCCTGAAAAGACAAGACCCCATCTCTAACTAAAATAGAAAAAATGGCTGGGCGCCACGGCCCATGCCTATAGTCCCAGCTACTCAGGAGGCTGAGGCAGGGAGGATCACTTGAGCCCGAACTGTGGCGTCAGCCTAGCTCACAGCAACCTCAAACTCCTGGGCTCAAGTGATCCTCCTGCCTCAGCCTCCCAAGTAGCTGGGACTACAGGGATGCGCCACCATGCCCGGCTAATTTTTTCTATATATATATATATATCAGTTGGCCAATTAATTTCTTTCTATTTATAGTAGAGACAGGGTCTCGCTCTTGCTCAGGCTAGTTTTGAACTCCCGACCTTGAGCAATCCACCCGCCTCAGCCTCCCAGAGAGCTAGGATTACAGGCGTGAGCCACCATGCCCGGCCAATGTTCACAATTTTATTTTGATAAATGAAAAATTAGAAAAGTCATATCATAGCTGTCAGCTAAAGTCGACGCTTGGCTGTGCGCCTTCATATCCCGGCTATCGGCTAAAGTTGCTGTGCGAGTTCATCTGTGGCTGTCGACTGTAGTCGACGCTCGTACCGAAGTGGTTAAGTAGACAGTTGGTAACACATGTGCCATTAAGAATGCACATCTGTAGTTCCGAAGTCAGTACCTTTCCATACAGCCTTGCAAAGCCGTGTGATCCATATGTGTCTGCAGTCCCTCCCTGCTGTAACAGAACACTAGAGCCTGGGTGATTCGTAAAAAGGAGACATTTATTGTCACAGTTTCTGGGGTGGAGGTCCACGGCCAGGGCTCTGGTAGGGTTGGTGTCTGGCAGGAGCCGGGACCCAGCTTCTGAGATGGTGCTGCCTGCTGTGTCCTCACAGGGCAGAGGGCTGTGGCCTGGTTACTTCCTGGGACACCCCCCCCCCCCTTACTCCTGTTGCCCCAGGGCTTTGTAGCATCTCCTCAGGCTCATCCTTTCTGGATGAGGTCTCAGTGTCCTGGGCCCCGTCTCAGGTGTTTCTAATTAGCACGTTTACGGTTCACATTCAACGTGGAAAGTGAAGTGGCTCAGGCATGTCCCGTTAGATGCAGACTGGCTTCCCAGGAGGAGAGGGGATTGTGCAGGCCCTGCTGCCCCCCATGGCACCAGTCTCCTGGCCTGGCCCTTGCCTTCTAGCCTAGACCACCTGGCCATGTGGATACTGTGGTTGGAGGCTCTGTTCTGGCTTGCGGGGTCTTCTGCTGCCCCCCGGCCCCGCTCGGGCCTTGGCCAGCTCCTGTTGAGCTTTCTGGAGGCACTTGGATCTGGTTAGCTGTGATGACATCTGCCTTGTACTGCAGTGGTGGCCTGGAGGGTAACCTGGGGTATTGAGGAGCCCCCCAGGCTGCTGTACCTCCGGGAACAGTGACTTAGTCTGAAAAGCGGGGCCCTTAGACTAAGAGCAGATTCCAGTTTTGGGGGCCATAGCGTGGTGTCCACAGAAGATAGGACGTGCTAGGCCCCCTCGTGGCTCTGTTGGGCCTGGCTCTTCAGAGGTGTTGTGAGCCCAGAGGGTATCCTGTGGCTTCCTTGTTGGCTTCAGTGCCGTGTCCTATTGTACATGCCCTGACTCTGGCATGGGCCTCCCTGGGTGGTGTCCCAGCCTCTTTCTTGGGCACCGTGGGTGTCTGATGCGCCGCATCTTTCTCTGATCGAAGGTGTGGGCCAGGTCGTACTCCAGGTCGCTGCAGCCACTAACTGTAAGCATCACTATGGCGTCGAGAAAGCGGACATCCCAGCCAAGTACGCGGAGGTGAGCGGTCTTGGGGGCCGGGGGTGTGTGTCGGAGGTGGGGGCTGCTCAGAGGAGGTGGGCACCCAGGGTGGGCTTCTGTTCTGCGTGGTGGTGTTTCTGGGCATGGAAGGTTTGGCTAAATCAAGGGAAGCCTGTGTGTGCAGCGCCTCCCGCCTCCCAGCAGGTCTAGGTGGAAGCCCTGGTGGAGTCCCTCTGCCCTCCGGGCTTGGAGCGGCCTGTGGCAGAGATGACTTGGTTCCACCCCAGCACGGGTCTTCTGTGCAGCCTCCTAGGCTGATGTGGCCCACAGCCTGACCCCTACCCAACTGTGGTCCATGCTGCGGCTCTGGCCTCCCTGTTGTCCCCGCACCTGTTGTCCTGGGTCTGCCCAGGTTTGGGGGTCGGGTCTCCCCACCACACAATGTGGTTTAAGTTTGAGGTGCGCTGTAGATTCTGGTTGACTGAGAGTCAGAAACCTGGATGGGCCCCACGTCGCCCGTCCTGGCTATGTGTCTCCTGGGGCTCCCACCTGTCTGTCCAGCCTGTCCTCGTGGGCCTTGTGGGCCGCGGGCATGTGGAGGGCCTGGCTGGTGGGTCTGTGACGGGCTTTGGTTTCTCCCCTGCAGACCATGGACCGAGAGTTCAGGAAGTGGATGAAATGGTATGGAAAAAAGCATGCAGAATACACAGTGAGTGCCATCGCGCCATGCCCGCGGCTACGACGCCAGCGCCAGCCTCCTTTCCTCCTCTCTCTCACCCCTCCTTTTTGCTATGTGGACACATGGCACTTCCTTCCAAATCTCATGGGGCCACCTGGCTCCTGCGTGGGGCTGGCACTAGGAGCCTCTGTTGGCGCCTTCCCTTCCCTCTGGCGGGAGCCTCTGTGTCCGCCAAGCACATGTGAACACAAGGCGCATGAAGGACAAGGGACTTGCGGTTCTTTGGCACAGAGGCCTTGGAGATGGGTCCGCCCGTTGGCTCCGGGGAAGCTTTGGGGTCACCCAGGGGGCCCTGGCTTCTCCGCTTGCTCGTTCTCACTCGTTGACACCCTCGTGGAGGCCTTCAGCCTCCCCCTGACAAGGTGGCAGACGTGGCATAGGCGGCTTCCTTCTCGGCCCTTATGTGACGTGGTCTCAGGAGTGCTCGGGCTCCCCCGATGACCCTGCCCTGGGAGCTACGCGGTGTGGCCCTGCATGTGGCACCAGTGTCAGTGGAACGCACTGGGGGTGGGAAGGGGTTGCTCTTTCAGCAACAGGAAGGACGGTTCTCCCAATTCAGACAGTTACTTATTTAGGCGGCGATCTTGAAGAGTAGCAGCTCCTCCATCGTCCTCTCGGGACGTTTTCCTGCTCTGGGCTATTTCCCTCAGACAACAGGGCTAGTGTCGTGTCCACACACACAGCCGCGACAGGCGCCGCTCCTAGGGCAGCATCCCAGGTGTGCGCGAGGCGGTGTGTGGGCGAGGTGGTACGTGCGCTCCGACATCCTCACATGTGCCTGGCCAGCAGAGTGTGTCAGCCCAGGTCCCTCACCTCCATGCTGCTCAGCAGCCTGTCACCCCAGTGCCTCGGGCTGTAGTTGGGACTGGATCTCTGAGGTCCCCCTGGTCCTGCACAGCCCCCTTCTCTCCCTGTTGGGACAGCGTGGGGTGCTGACTGGAGCTGGACCCAGGGTGTCGGGGCGGGAGGGTGACTGCTTCTGGTTCCCCAGAATGAGAAGGAGCCTCGAGAGCGCAGGTTGGCTGTCGGGAACCCCGGATCTAGGGAGAGAGCCCTCCTCACCAAGCAGGAGGAGCTGTGGGGACAGGAGCAGTGAGTGGTGGCAGGACGGGTGTGGTGGCGCGAGGGTCAGTAAACCCCAGCAGGGGCCGTGTGGACATGCCGAGGCCGACCACTCGTCCTGGGTTCTGGCACTGACCCAGCCACGGATTGAAGTTTGCTTGTTTCGGAGTCCAGCTGTGGCAGAGCTTGCATGTGTGGGGCTTGGGCCCAGCTGCCCTTCCCTTCTCTTGGCGAAAGGCTCTTCCAGAATCTCCCCGCAGCAGAAGGTGCATATTGGTATCTGTCCTCCGGTGTTTCTGGCTGTCGTTCAGGCTGGCCATGTGGTGAGTCCGTTTGGGTGGTTCTGCCAGCCTGGTGCCTGTGTCCGCTTGCACTCTGGCTGGAGGATCCCTGAGGCTTCACGCGCCTGGGAGGGAGAGCCACACAGTTCTAAGTGCTGCGAGGACAGGGGAGAAGGAGGCAGGAGGGTGGAGTGTCGGGGGTGGGGCTGCCCTAGGCAGTCGTTTCTCCTTCCTTTTTCCGTGTCTTTGTCGTTGGCAGTGGCAGTACCTGGCCTGCTGGGTTTGGGGTCAGCGAGGCGGCTGTGAGTGGTACCGTCTCGAGTGGCACGCAGGAGGCACTCCTGGCGCTGCCCTTGTGCTGGTTAGGGTGTCACGGTTGTGCCAGTGGCTCCTGAGATGTGGCTGGGAGTGGGATTCGAGGAAAATGATGCCATTGATTGTGACCTTGGTGATGGTGTCTGGAGCGACCTCCTGCAGGGATGTGACGGCCCCTGTGCCAGCCTGTGCCCCAGCATCGGCCCTTGGCTTCTGAGAGGGCCTATGTCAGGGCCAGCCCTGCCATCAGTCAAACAGCCTTTCATCGCCCTTTTTGTCGAGAACTTGTGTCCTGAAATTTGAAAAACCCCTCCTCGCAGCTTCCTGTGGCTTTGACAAGGCGCCCTGGTTGGCACACTCAAGTCCTGCCTTCCGTTCCTCAAGAAACAAAGAGGAAAACCAGAAGCCTAAAAATAGCGTGGTGACTTTTTCCAGGCCCAGAGCCTGCTTCTGGGCTGAGGAGCGCTTGCCACTCTGCCCCAGAGGCTGGCACGGACCAGGCTGGCAAGGACTACTAGGCCAACGCTGCAGGCTGCCGCCAACTCTGCCCTGGTCCCTCTGCCTGGGCAGGGGTTGCCTGGCACTCCTGAGGCCTGGAGCCAGCCCCCGGGCAGAAACTAGGCCAGGCTCAGCTCTGTGCTCTCGGCACTTTGCAGTAGTTTCTCGCATCCAGACATGAGCAGAGTTAGTGGCATCTCAGGTGGCTGTGGTGTCACTGAAGTACCACGTGAGGAAGGCCTGCAGCTGCGGGTGGAGCTGTCGCTGCAGAGGCTCTTCCTGGTACTCTAAAAGATCTGCCACCCTCCAGGGATGTGCGTTAGGACTGTGACGGGGCTGTCCCCACAACAGGCTGGCTGTCCCGATGGGACAGTCAGCCAGGGCTTTATTTGAGGCCCTGGCACATCCTGGTCTGGGTTGCTTTCTACTGTGGCCTCCCTGGGTGTCAGGCTTGGCAGAGACGGTTCTGGTGATGGCACCAGGCCGCTTGGCATGTTGGCAAGACGACAGGACTGCAGAGATCCACAGCCTCCCTGGAGGTGCTACCCACGGTGTTTGCAGGGCCAGTTTAGGCCCAGCAGGCCATGGTCAGTAAGGTGGGGCCCGTCTAGGCTCCCAGACACCCCAATGGCAGCCTTACCAGCGCCTTCTGAGGACGCAGCCTGTGCTGCTGTCAGGGACTGTGGACCTGAGTCACATTTCCAGGCCTGGTGGCTTATCTGGGATGCCAGAGAGATGCAGGGGCTGCTCAGGGTGGAGGGAGGCAGAGATGGGGATGAGAGGGCCTGGGAATATGGGGGTGTCCCAGCACCCGAGGCTCAGGGTGGTCACCTGCCCTTCCTACCTCATGCTGCGTCCTTCCTATCTGTGGGTGGCCTCTTGGAGGACATGTGGCTGCTGCTGGCCTGCGTGGACGGCCTTGTTGCAGTGGAGTAGCTGTCTGCTTGTGGGGCCGTTTCTGCTCAGGGTCTTCCTGCCCGTCCTGACAGATGCTCTGGGCTGGGCACCAGGCCTGCGGTGCCGTGCAAGGCGGCAGGTGTCCTGGTCACCACACGGCCCCCAGGGGTGCCGGCGTGGGCCTCAGCCGTGACGCGTAAGCTGGTACTCCTCATCCTCCCAGCCCCGGCACGTACGAATCCATGTCCCGTCTCTGTGGCTCTGCCTATTCTGGACATTTCATATCAATGGAGTCTCACTCTGTGTGTCCTTCTGTGTCTGGCGTCTCTCATGGAGCACGATGTCCTCAAGGTCCCTCTGCGCTGTGGACTGTGTCAGAGTCTCATCCCTTTTTGTGGCTGAGTGATACTCCACGTGTGGATGGGTCACGTGTGACACTGGGCTGTTTCCACCTGGCTGTTGTGAGTCACGTTGTCTGTCATAGGCATTTGTGTGCCGATGCCTGTGGACGTATTTTTGTTTGTCTTTGCTGTAGATCTAGGAATGGAGGAAGTGGTGTCTTTTTGAAGAAATATGGAACCAGAGTCTGGGCGTGGTGGCTCACGCCTGTAATCCTAACACTCTGGGAGGCCGAGGTGGGAGGATTGTTCAAGATCAGGAGTTTGAAACTAGCCTGAGCAAGAGCAAGACCCTGTCTCTACTATAAATAGAAATTAATTGGTCAACTGTAAATATATAGGAAAAAAACTAGCCGGGCATGGTGGCGCATGCCTGTAGTCCCAGCAACTCAGGAGGCTGAGGCAGGAGGATTGCTTGAGCCCAGGAGTTTGAGGTTGCTGTGAGCTAGGCTGATGCCATGGCACTCTAGCCCGGACAACAGAGTGAGACTCTGTCTCAAAAACATATAAATAAATAAATGAAATAAAAGAAATGTGAAACCAGATACGTCAGTTTTCTGAATGTTGTGGCTCTGGATGTAGGTTAATAGAGCCGCTCTCCCCTACAGACCTTGGTCTGTGGAGGGTGGAGGATGTTAGTCTGTAACCAGAGCTGCTGCATAGCAGGCAGTCGCCTGGTAGAAATGGCTCTGTCCAGCAGGGGCTTAAGGGCATGTGCTATGGGGACCCTCCGCCATCCACAGATGGTCCACCTTCTCCGCCTGTACCTTGGTGGTCTTGCCACACCCCTCTCATCCCTCCACTGACCCCTCCTGCCCTCAGAGCAGTGGCTGGTGGTGCCCTAGGCTCCTCCTGCGTCCTTCCATCGAGAGTGACTGTGTGCCCATTTCATTGTTTCTTCGAGGGGCGGGTGGGCCGGGCAGCAAAGCCAGATGAGGCCTCGGGAATGAACGCCACTGCTGTCTTCTCTTGCAGTTGGAAAGAGGCGACTTCCTCTCAGAAGAGTGGAGAGAGCGCATCGCCAACACGAGGTACGCGGGCTGTGGGGCACGGTGCCAGGGCGGGCAGTGGGCACGGGGCCAGGCTCAGGGCAGGCCGGGGTCCCAGCACTCCCCAGGTCTCTTCTCACGCCAGGGTCTCCTCTGAGAGTCAGCAGGTCAGAAACGCCCCTGCCTGTCACCCACCTTCCCACTGGCGCTTGTCACCAGGCCCAGCCCTGAGCCTGTGCGCAGGCTCTCGCTCTGTTGTCTCCCTGAGCTGGCCTCCTTTGCTGCCCCTGAGCTGGGTCTGGGTGTTTTCCCGTCTCCTCGTCCCTTGCCTCTCCCCCCTTGAGTGGCCTGTGTCCACTGCACAGCTGGGTGGGCTGCTCTCAGCTCGGCTCCCACACACCTCACCAGGAGGCCCCTGGTGCCAGCAGCTCATGGAGCCGAGTCTTGGGGTCCCCCATCCTGCCCCATCTAGGCGTGTGGCGTGTGCCGCCTGCTGATCTGTGTGTGAGTGGAGCGTGGCGATCTCTCCCAGGTGGTGCTGCCGGGATCTGCTCTCCTGTGCAGGCCTCCACGTGGCCGGGCCCGCTGTGCCTATGGGCAGGTGTCCTGCCCTACGTGTGGGATCCATCCCACTGCCAGATATGTGGCCCTATCCAGGGGGTTGGGAGTACAGCAGGGTCCCTCCTGTGGGAACTCCTGGAGACACTGGGTTTGCGCTGACCAGCCACGCTTAGGCTGTGGTTGCCATCTGTTAACCCCTTAAGAAGCTGAGGGCTTTCCTGGTGTCTTGTTGGTTCCCAGTTCTAGTTCATGTGGGCCTTGCTCCCTCAGCCTCCAGGACCGCATGTCTGCTTGCCGTCTGCCCTGCTGGCGGCTCTGTGGGCTCTGCCCTACAGCCCGAGTCTGGCTTGCCCTTCCTATGGCAGAGTGTGAGCGGGCCTTCGCCATGCAAGGTGGCTCTGCAGGCCTGCTTCCTGGCTGGGGCATCACCTGCTGTCCTTGTGGGGACTGATGGCGCCTTCCCTTGTCTCTAAAACACAGCAGGGTGGTAGCTCTGGAGCTAGGTGTCCTGAGGCTTCCTTCTCTGCAAACACCAGTTCCTGAGGGTCTTTTCTGGTGCCCGCTGCCATCGTGTGGCTACCTGAACTCATGGCTCTTACTCCCAGCCTGCCCCTGTGCAGTCCCTTGGGGACACCCTGTCAGATGGGGACGGTTGGCCCAGCACTCTGGCCTGTGCATGTCTAGTCTCCAAGTGGTGCCCGAGGGTGCCTCTGCCTGGGCCCGTGGTCTGGTGTCTTGCCCTTCCTGCGGGTAGAGGCAGGACGGAGCCCTGCTTGGTGTTCCCATCTCTGCAGCCTCCCTGGGGCCAAGGCCCTTCTTGCTGTGCTGGGTACCTGGGAAGGGTTGCTGGTGAATGTTTCCAGTTTCTCGGTTTTAAAACCATCAGGATTCAAAACTAGCAGTTCACCCTGTTTTCTGCCCCATTGCAAAGAGGAAGTGCTTCTCTCCCGCCTGCACTGGCAGCACCCAGTGTGGCACTCACTGGGGACTTGCGGCTATGACGGCAGGCTGGGGTGTGGGCAGAGCCTGGCGCCAGCAGGCAGTCGCTGCAGACTGCACTGGATGCTTTGCACCTGCGGAGATGGAGCCTTGGTCTTACTCAACTGGCACGTTGTTTTGCAGTGTTATATTTGTGAATAACTTTGCCTTTGGTCCTGAGGTGGATCACCAGCTGAAGGAGCGGTTCGCAAACATGAAGGAAGGTACGTGCCCCGGCCGCCTTGCGTTCCCTTCCCGGAGTCCACAGTCCTAGGGTGCCTGGACATAGCCCTTATGGGATGGCAGCTGCGGAGACCTTGGGCTCCTGCATTGGCTGCCCGGGTACCAGGCATCTGCCTGTGTTCCCTGTTCCACCGTCCCTTAGTTTGCAGTGTCATGTTGGAGGTGAGTGCTGGACACTCTCCGCCTAGGCCTGGGGCTGTCACTGGGGGAAACTAAGGGGCCTGAGAGCTGAGCTGAGCTGGCGCTGTAGCTCGAGGACAGCCTCCTTAGGCGGAGACCAGTGCAATTCTCCCATGGTTTTGTAAAGATGCCAGGCAGGCGAGAGGCTATAGGCTCAGCAAGACCCAGTCTCCAACTGCCTTCAGCACTGATGATTTTTATCCATGGGGGCTTGGTGTACGCGTGTGTGTATGTGCCTGCGCACGTGTGCCCTCCCTTGAGCAGAGGATGGCCCTGAATTATCTTAAAACCTTAACTGAGGACATGCTTCTTCCTCCAGCTGAGCGCTTCTCCTGGGCTTAGGGCCTCCTGACCCCGCTGTCACACTCAGGAGGGGCTGGGATTCCCACGGCCCTGTGGCCCTCTCCCTGGCCACACCTGCTGCCCAGGAGCATCCCTTGGGGGTGTTTCCCCAACTTTCCAGCCAGCACCTGGGCCTAGCTGTGGGTGGTGGTCGTGGCTGTGTCTGTTGCAGTGACCTCTCGTCTCCAGCCCTGCTATCTGTCTGTAGTGGTGCCTGTCTAGGCACCTGGCGTCCTAGGCAGGTCTCTGCACGTGTGCTTTGATGTGTCTCTCCTTGCCCTGCTTCCTGCATGTGGGACACCAGGTTGTTGCGCATGGCTGGGCCCAGGTGCTCGAGGCAGCAGTGCTCTGTCATGTCAGGTGGTGCTGCCCAGAACCCCCACTTCCCATTGGAGGTACTGCCTGGCCCCTGAGTACATAGCAGCCCGCCCACCTGGGTGGTCTCTGGCGAGAGAACTGCTTCCTGACATCCCAGCGGTGTCCTGCCAACCCCCTAGTTGGAACTCTGCAGGCTGATGGACCTCACGTGTCTTTGGAAGAGTGCTGTCACCATCTTGGTCCTTGTGAGGCACAGATCCTGGTGTGCCCCTGAGAGCCTGTCAGGCTGCCCTGAAACCTTTCAACATGGCTCTGTTAGCCTTTGAGCTTGTTCACTTGTTTGCTGACATGATGGGCACTGGCCTGACCTTGTCTGTGCCTGGCCCAGCCCCTGGACTGTCCCTTCCCTACTCTTCTTGATCACAGGGCGGCGAAGCTTTGGGAGGAGAGAGCTGGGATGGGTGTGTGTGTCTGTGTAAATGGATTCATTTTGAGTTTTCCAACTTAAATTTAGCATTATGATCTTTGATTTTTGTATTTGCTTCTTTTTCTTACGCTGAGAAATTTGGTTCCTGAAAGGGCTAACGTATTTACTTACAGTGTTTTTTGTACAGTCTATATGGAAGTTCCATGATTGCTGTTAATAGTAATACCGATATTTAACAGCAGATTTACTGAGTGAAGGTCAGGATTTCTCTGTGGTTCTTTTCATCGTTGGAATTTGTCACGTTAACGATGCACAGTCAGACGCGTGTTAAAGAGTTGGTTGAGATAATTACTTTTGCTCTGTGGCTATTGCCTGTTGGAACCTGCAGTTGGGTTGGTTTGTCTGTGGACAGTTAGGGGTTTGCCTTCTGTCCTCTCAAGTCTTAGTCGGGATGAATGGCGCATTTGCCCACATTCCTTGGCCAGGAGAGGCCCAGCCTGTCCCTCTGGCCCCGATGGGCTCCCTTCCTGGGGCTCCTGCTTGATCCTTGTGGGGTGTGCTGTGTGCACACTGGTCTTCCCTTTTTTTCTCATTTAACAAGAAGTCCCGGAAATCACGCTAGACGAGCTCCACCTCTGGCCGCACCTTCCCCTGCAGTGTCTGTCCTGGGCCCTGTGCCTCAGGGTGTCCTGTGTGGGCTGAGCCTGCAGCTGCCTGAGCAGCTGCCTCTTTGGAGCCCACCCCATGTGTGCGAGTGCCGGTTTGGGTCCATGCTTGGGATTTTGTGAGAACTTGGGGACTTTTTTAAAAGGAAAGTTGTACAACAGTCTCAAACATGGAAAGTAGTGCATAGTTTTGCTTCAACTTGTAGGAAGACGGATGGGATTCCGAGCTGTGGTTGTTGCATGTTCAGTGTTTGGTTCCTTCTGTGTGACTTGCTCCATGCTTGTCTGTGTGTGTATCCACTTTCCCACACATGGCAGTGATCGGTGTTTATGTTTCAGGTGGCAGGATCGTATCCTCGAAGCCCTTTGCACCTCTAAACTTCAGAATAAACAGTAGAAACTTGAGTGGTAAGACACCGTCATGTTGCTTTGATTAGTGTCTGCTGAAGGTGCCTGTGGTGGGTGGTTAAGGCGGGGGCAGCTGTGGTGCTTACCCACCCGTTGTGTGTGCAGACATCGGCACCATCATGCGCGTCGTGGAGCTGTCACCCCTGAAGGGCTCCGTGTCGTGGACGGGGAAGCCAGTCTCCTACTACTTGCACACTATTGACCGGACCATAGTGAGTGTTCCAGCGGGACCCCTGCCCTGTGGCCCCTTACAACCCTGCTGGTGCCTCTCTCAGCCTGTTGGACCTGGGGGAGCTAGGCCGGCTCCTGTCCAGGGTGTCCTGGTCCTGACCACCCACCATCCCTGTTTGTGGCTTACTCCATGTTCAAGGAACGTGGCCCAAGTGTCCAGCTGCAGCTCGTTGGTGAACTGAGAATGATGCTCGCTGTGGTGGGGCTAGGTCACACCCTTGTCTGCTACTGGCGGGATCCAGCCATGCACTTGGTGTCCCAGAATATGTGATGTCATCTGGGGTGTCCCATTTGTCCTGACAGAGTACGAGACTCACTTATAATGAGATTCTTTTCTTTCCTTTTTAGCTTGAAAACTATTTTTCTAGTCTGAAAAATCCAAAACTCAGGGTAAGTTCATGTGTTTTCTTCCTCGAGCTAAGAATGTGGACGTGCTGCTGTATGAAAGCCTGACACATTCCCGAGTGGCTGGGTTATGGCAGGATAATGGCAGTGATGGGTCCTGCGGGCAGCCCTGCGATTCCCGCGGGGTCTGAGTCTTTCCCACCCTCGTCTTCCCCCACCTCTCTCTGTCTCTGTCTATGCTTGTCCTCATCTTTGATAGACTCACCTGGGCCAGTCTTCTTAATCACAATCTGGGGGTGGTCATTGGGCAAGTCATGGTATCCTAAAGTTTATTTTTGGTGATTGGCGACTGGCTGTGAAGTACAGGACGGGGGATCTGCTCCCCCTGGTGCTGCCCTGGTGCCCCTGCAGGCTGTGGTGTGTACTGCCGCCACCTGGGGCTGGAGTGTTCCTTGTTTCCGGTGCAGAGCAGTTGCTTCTTGGCACTGCCATTCGGCACCCTTGAAGGCTGATCATGCCGCGTGTACCTCCCATCTAGAGGGTGTTTTCAGTAGCAAATATGAGAGAACAAACTGCACAGAGCACCCACTGGTGGGGCCTCGGTGTATCTCACCAAGAGGGGAAGTGAGAGGGACAGGGAGGGGAGGGGCTTCTCATCCTTGCACCTGGGGGTCTGTCCTTGGTGTGGTTCATCAGAGGCTGCCTGGCTTCTTGTGAGTCAGGGCATCTGTGTTTGTGTGTGTGGCTGCAGGTGCCGCGTCGGGTGGCCTGTGGGAGCTTGTGATGTCTATGTTTCGGCTCCCTCATCTGTGCTGACAACCCCTCCGGTGTGGGCTCTGAGTCCCCTGGTGCAGTAGGGGCTCTGGCCAGTGCCAGACTCTGCAGCGCCATCCAGTTCTTCCTCTGCAGGAGGAACAAGAGGCAGCTCGGCGCCGGCAGCAGCGGGAGAACAAGAGCAATGCGACTACCCCCACCAAGGTGCCCGAGAGCAAGGCGGCCGGCCCCTCGGATGCTCCCATGGTAAGTCCCATGCTAAGCCCCATGCTGGGTGCAGCTCCTGCAGTGTCCCGCCCTTACTCTGCCATCACCCCCTGTGTCATGCAGGATTCCGCTGCCGAGGAAGACAGAGCCGGAACAGCCCCCGTCAAGAAGCCGTCCCCCTCCAAGGCCCGCAAGAAGAAGCTGAATAAGAAGGGGCGGAAGATGGCTGGCCGCAAGCGCGGCCGCCCTAAGAAGATGAGCACTGCAAACCCCGAGCGAAGGCCCAAGAAGAGCCAAACTGCACTGGATCTCCTGCACGCGCAGACCACATCCCAGACAGCGTCCCCCTCACCCCAGGGTGAGCCCTGTCCCGCCCCAGCGACTGCCTCCAGGCCGGGCCTCACACGCTGTGCAGCTGCCTGGGGAGCCCCTCAGTGGAGATGCGCCCTCCCGGGTCTCAGGTCTGCAGCGTCCCAGCAGCAGTGCCTTCGTGGTGGCTCTGCCACAGGATCCCCAGACCCCACCCATACCTGTCCCACCTGCAGAGGGGCCCCCCTGCACACCCGGCCAGTGCCAGTACTGGCAGGGTCTCAGCAATGGGCACGAGGGGCTTTTCACCACATTGTTGCCAGCCAGGGTCTGGCGGTGTAAAAGCTGCCCCTGGGGGTCTTGGGTCCCAGCCAGAGGGGCCTCTGCCTTGGTGCTTAGCACCGTTTTAGACTCTGGGAAACATGTTGAGCTTCTCCTAAAGGAAGCAGGGAGTCTGGGATGGTCCTGGGCTCCATGGGAGTTGTTGGGTTGACACATTGTCCGTCCTTTCGTGCAGATGCCTACAGGTCACCTCATAGCCCCTTTTACCAGCTACCTCCGAGCGTACAGCGGCCCTCCCCCAACCCGCTGCTGGGGGCACCCACCCCGCCCGCGCTGCAGAAGCTGCTAGGTGAGCCGTGCTGGGAGAGCACTGGTGTGGGCGTGTTGGGGTCCCAGCAGACAGAGGGTCACGATTCTGGCCTGGCAGCAGCCCTTGGGACGATTACGCTGAACTCCACACGAGTTGCAGGGCCTGGGATCCGGCCTGTTTGAGATGTCAGCAGATGGGCCCCGGGGTTGTCTGAGGTCCACAGTCTCATTCCAGGAGAGCCTGGGTGATGTCTGGGGACATGTTCAGTTGTCACAATGAGGGTGGTGCTTCTGGCATCAAGTGGGTGGCGACCAGGGACACTGCTTAGCACCTTGCAGTGCCCAGGGCAGTCCCTCAGAGAATGGTCAGCTGTCCAGGGGAGAGAGGGCCTGGGCGGGCCCCCCATGCTCAGGCGCTCCCCATGGCGTGAGGGTGAGGGCGTGTTCTACTTTGCGGAGCCTGTGACACTCCTGCGATGACAGGAGGGGGGAGGCCCTGGGCCGGAACAGGCACCCAAACAGCCGCTCTGAGCAGGCCATCGAGTGGGTGCTGGGTGGGCCAAGTCCAGAGCTTGTTTATGCAGTGCCTCTCCCTCTTCCCCATGGCCTCAGGTGGGTTACATGTGCCACAGCGCTTTGCTAAAACCATGTCACATGTCTTTCCCCCTAGAGTCCTTCAAGATTCAGTACCTGCAGTTCTTGGCATACACAAAAACTCCTCAGTACAAGGCCAACCTGCAGCAGTTGCTGGACCAGGAGAAGGTGGGTCCCACTCACGCTGCGCCTGTCTTCTGCTGCGTGGCATTGGCTCTGGTGCCATGCAGGCCCCAGGGAGTAGCAGGTCTGAGTGGGTTCTCCTGCCCCTTGCTGGCCGAGCTTCACACCTGAGGCCCCTGCTGTCGAGGCTGCCCCATGCCCAGCCATGGGGAGGCAGCCCCCCCTCTGGTCAGTGCCATTGGTGCCCAGTGGGTGTCATTGCTTTAGGGGTGAGGGTGCACAGCTTGGAGAGGCCAGGGCGTCCTTGGCTCTATGTCTTTGTGTGGCTCTGAGCCTGGCATGGTCCGTCTTCCTGTCACGGCCCCGGGGCTGGGGTGTGGGTGACTGCATTATCTCTAGGCTGGCTGAGCACAGCTGAGCTCAGAGACCGCCTTGCTGCCTGGTCCTTTGTCTTAGCTGAGGGACATAGGGGACAGTGATTCTGGCACTTGAAGGTGCTGCAGTCTAGAAACATCTCTGGCAAGAGGCTCAAGTGGCCTGTGATACTACGGTTGAGTTGTGTCTGAGCCCTGGTTTTTTGTTGGGACTTGGATGTTGCTGTGAAAGTTGAAGAGGCTCGTGCCGTACTTTATGTAGACACATGCACATCTCTCCCTGCTTAGCTGCTGAGGCCTTATTTTCCACTGGAGTAGGGAAGTTGTCATGTTTAAGTGGTTCCCAGTATCTTGTCGCATTTAGAAACCAGCCCTTCCTGTGTAGACAGGCTGTTGGGGTGGTCTGAATTTTTGCTATTATAACAGCAGTCTTTTTGTAAACTTTGGGGAAAAGCCCACTTTCGGTACTTCCTGGGATAAATCCCCAAAGGAATTGGTGGTCTCTGTGCTACTGGGATGTGCGGTGGCCCTGTGCCTGGAGCCCCTGCACGTGGAGCTCTTCATCAGCGTGTCTGTGGGGAGTGCGTTTGAGGGTATTGTGGAGGGTCAGGGCCTGGGGTCTTCCCTGGAGGGCCCTGGGGTCACCTGCCCTGTCTCCTGCAGGAGAAGAACACCCAGCTGCTGGGCACGGCACAGCAGCTCTTCAGCCACTGCCAGGCGCAGAAGGAGGAGATCAGGAGGCTCTTCCAGCAGAAACTGGACGAGGTCTGCCCTGTGGCGGGGCTGGGGTGGGCAGCTGGGTACAGTCTGGGGTGGCTCGGATCTGGCAGAGCATCTTGTGTTGGCCCTTTCACCTTTATGGATGTGTCCCCCAGACGGGGAGAGGACTGGGGCCTGGGAAGTCAAGGGGGCTGCCCTGGGGCTGGGCTGTGGGGTGGCCGCCCCTTGGGCACCCAGTGTGCCAACTGCATGTGTGTCCATGTGTATCCGCAGCTGGGGGTGAAGGCCCTCACCTATAACGACCTGATCCAGGCGCAGAAGGAGATCTCTGCACACAACCAGCAGCTGCGGGAGCAGTCGGAACAGCTGGAGAAGGACAATAGCCAGCTCCGTAGCCAGAGTCTGCAGCTGGTGGGTGCCCCACGGTGTCCAGCAGGGCGGCCTTCCCAGGCTGCCAGGGCTGGAAGCCTGTCAATCCGACTCCCTGGTCAGCGGGGCAGGGGCTGGGCTCTTCAGTGACCAGAGGGCCCTGCCTGGAATGGGATGGGCTTTCCACAGCCCTGCTTGTCTATAGCTGGAGGTTCCAGAACCTCCCTTCTGATCCCTCTGTCCTTAGCTCATCCCTAGACTTCCTGTGCAGCCTTCCAGAGCTCTGGCAGAGCACTAGGGCAGACGGGCCGGGGCTCCCCGAAGGCCTGCCTGTGTGTGGCTGCCCTGCGCTCCACCTCCGCTGGGGCTCCTGGAGCCCACACAGACCGCGGCATCTCAGGCCGTGGTGCTCACGCGCCTGCCGCGCCCCTCCCTGCCTGGGGTATGACACTTGAGGCCACATCTGTGTGTCCTGGGGGCCTCTGCCTGCCGTTCTGGAGAGCGTGGACTCCCACCCTGTTCTGTCTGTGGGCCCTGCTTTCCAGGCCGTTGCTACAGCCACCACGTCCTGTCCCTGTAGCTCAAGGCCCGGTGTGAGGAGCTGAAGCTGGACTGGGCCACGTTGTCTCTGGAGAAGCTGCTGAAGGAGAAGCAGGCCCTGCGGACGCAGATCTCAGAGAAGCAGCGGCACTGCCTGGAGCTGCAGGTGGGTGTCACCGGGCTTCCCGCTGTGTGCACAGGGTGAGCTGGCCGCTTCCTTCTAGGACAGCCTCAGCTTTGGGGTCACTGTGGTGGCAGTGGCCCAGGAGCTTCGCCTTGCAGCCCTTGGAAGAGGGTTTGTGGGGATGGAGGGACAGGTGGGTTGTACCTGGACCATCGCTGTGCAAGGCCCCTGTGCCGCGTGGGGAGGCTCTGCTCACTGTTGTTCCCTCTGGTCCAAACAAGTGTCTCGGGGCTTGTTTAGCCGAACACTCATTGCTGAACTAAGATTTCCTGGTTGTCTTGTCGTAAGTGGTTTCTGAAAGAGTCAGCAAAGAATTTGGTCACTATTAACTTAATCACATCTGCAAAGAGAAGAAAAGAAAAGAAAAAAATATATGTATTTTTTTGAGACAGAGTCTCGCTTTGTTGCCCAAGCTAGAGTTTATGCCGTGGCGTCAGCCTAGCTCACAGCAACCTCAAGACTCCTGGGCTCAAACAATCCTCCTGCCCCAGCCTCCCAAGTAGCTGGGACTACAGGCATGCGGCACCATGCCCGGCTAATTTTTTTTCTATATATATTAGTTGGTCAATTAATTTCTTTCTATTTGTAGTAGAGACAGGGTCTCACTCTTGCTCAGGCTGGTTTCGAACTCCTGACCTCGAGCAATCCGCCTGCCTCGACCTCCCAGAGTGCTAGGATTATAGGCATGAGCCACCACGCCCAGCCAGAAAAGAAAATATATTAAAAAATTTAAAAGAACTTAGCCTGTAGTCCAGCTACTAAGGAGGCTGAGGCAGGAAGATCACTTGAGCCCAGGAGTTGGAGGCAGCACTGAGCTGTGATGACGCCACTGCACTCTAGCCTAGGTGACAGAGCAAGACCCTGTCTCAAAACAAAAACAAAAACCTTGTCCTATTTGGTGGATTAGTAACAGAAACATGTCCACTGAGGTGAGTTAGAAGGCACGAGGAGGAGAGGATAGAGGAGCATGGTGCGTGGTGCGTTTCCTTTCAAAATATTACCGGGAGTTGATATTTTTCTTTTGAGACAAAGTCTCACTCTGTTGCCAGGGCTAGAGTGCCGTGGTGTCAGCCTAGCTCACAGCAACCTCTAACTCCTGGGCTCAAGCAGTCCTTCTGCCTCAGTCTCCCAAGTAGCTGAGACTATAGGCATGCGCCACCATGCCCAGCTAACTTTTTCTATATATTTTTGTCCAGTTCATTTCTTTATCTTTCTTTCTTTTTTTTTTTTTTTTTGAGACACAGTCTCGCTTTGTTGCCCAGGCTAGAGTGAGTGCCATGGCATCAGCCTAGCTCATAGCAACCTCAAACTCCTGGGCTCAAGCAATCCTCCTGCCTCAGCCTCCTGAGTTGCTGGGACTACAGGCATGCGCCACCATGCCCGGCTAGTTTTTTTCCTATATATTTACAGTTGACCAATTAATTTCTTTCTATTTATAGTAGAGATGGGGTCTCGCTCTTGCTCAGGCTGGTTTCAAACTCCTGACCTCAAGCAATCCGCCCACCTCGGTCTCCCAGAGTGCTATGATTACAGGTGTGAGCCACTGCGCCCGGCCTGTCTTGAACTCTTGAGCTCAAACAATCCACCTGCCTCAGCCTCCCAGAGTGCCAAGATTACTTACAGGCATGAGCCACCATGCCCAGCCCAGGAGTTGATTTTTTTGGTGCATGTAGCTATCACTTGGTACCAAGAATAAAGCAAAAAGACAGTTGGTGTCAGCATTTCTGTTACAGAGGCTCCATCCATGAAGGCTGTGTCCTCTTGGCATGTCCCCCGCCTTGCAGCACAGTTTCGTCATTTATGTGAGGTGTTCCCTGCCTTTGGGCCCTTGGGGTACTTTCAAACGGCTAATTCTTAGTACTAAATGATGCTGTGATGTGTTTCTTGACGCCAAAGGTCAATTCTCATGCTTTCCTTAAAGGCGTGCTCCTGAAAGCAAGTTTCTTAGTGTTTGAGGGCTGCAGGATGTGTCACTCTCTGACGCTAGCATGTGACAGGGTTTGCTGGCCTCGTTCCCACGGATCTTCCTGTCTCCGTGAGAGATGAGTTTGGGTTCTGACTCTTTTTTGCATGTTTCTGTGTCATAATGAAATCACACGTGCCCATTGTAGGAAGGAGACAGAGACAGTGAACAGACCAAGAGGCAGAAACTTCCCTCAGGCCACCGGCCTAGAGGATATGCTGCTCTGTTTGAGAGGGGTGTGATCCTTCCTCGTTTCTTCCTGGTAGTCTTTGTGCTGACAAATCTATTTTTCACAGAGCAAGATCATTCTGTGTATGTTTGTGTTTCTTGCTGTTCTCGTGTTTCCTGTTGATGAGTACACGTCTATGGAGCCATCCCCACCACTCACGTGCCGTTTTATCCACGCACCCTTGGCCTTACTGGCCTGATGCCAGACCGTGGGCCACTTTGGTTTTTCTATCCTAGCTAGTTGATTGGTGTCTGGCAGCTCCCCCGGGTGCCATGCGTGGCAGCGTCCTGGGGATGGCACCCATGTCTACTGCGGCTCTGGGTCTTACACCGGCTCCCTCCCGCAGATCAGCATCGTGGAGCTGGAGAAGAGCCAGCGGCAGCAGGAGCTGCTGCAGCTCAAATCCTGCCTGCCGCCTGACGAAGCACTGTCCACGCACCTGCGAGGGAAAGGCACCCTGGGCCGCGATCTGGAGGCTGACCCCAGCAGGCTGCATCTTGAGCTGGATTGCACCAAGTTCTCGCTCCCCCGCTTCAGCAGCATGAGCCCAGAACTCTCCATGAATGGCCACGCCACCAGCTATGAGCTCTGTGGCGCCCTGAGCCGGCCGTCGTCCAAGCAGAACACCCCCCAGTACCTGGCCTCCCCCCTGGACCAAGAGGTGGTGCCCTGCACGCCTAGCCACGGCGGCCGGCCACGTCTGGAGAAGCTGTCTGGCCTGGCCGTGCCTGACTACACCAGGCTCTCTCCGGCCAAGATCGTGCTGCGGCGGCACCTGAGCCAGGACCACGCAGCGTCCAGCAGGGCAGCCACCAGTGAGCTACACCCGCGGTGAGTGCCCTGGGGCTGTGGAGGACCTTCTTGGCGGGATCGCCTCAGTTGGGAAGAGCTATGGGGCTGTGTGCTGGGCCTGGGCCCGGCTCCCCGAGAGTGACCAGGCCTTCTCCTCCCAGAGCCGAGCATGCCAAGGAGAACGGCCTTCCTTACCACAGCCCCAGCACGTCCAGCAGCTTGAAGCTGAGCCCTCAGGACCCCCAGCCCCCGTCCCCTGGGGCCTTGCAGCTCACCGGGGAGAAGAGCAGTGAGAAGGTACGGCCCAGGCCCCTCCCGCCCTCTGCTTGTGCTCCAGGGGCTCACGCTGAGGTGGCAACGCCCAGGGCTTAGGGTTAGCAGGAAAGAAGCCCTGGTCACCTCAGGGTGGAGGAGAATGTGTGCCACAAGTGGGGGGCTGGTGGGCACAGCATAAGCAACACTGGGCAGGCGTGGTGGAGAGCACTGGGTCTGGGTGGCAGATCGGGTTTGTCTGTGCCATCGGGCTGGGAACACTGGTGTGATGCAGAGCCCTGCTCAGGAGGCCAATGTGTTCTCTGGAAGTGCTAGGGGTGTCTCTAGAACATCCCAGCACAGATTCCACGGGGAAGAGCTGGGGGCCCAAGGGTCTGGGACTGTGGGGGCCGTCGGTTAGGGTCCCCTGGTCCCATGGCCTGGGACCTGCTGACCCACGTGGTGGCTGGTGTGTGCTGCAGGGTATGAAGGATCGAGCCTATGGGAGCAGCGGGGAGGCCATCACCAGCCTGCCCATCAGCATCCCGCTGAGCACGGTGCAGCCCAGCAAGCTGCCTGTCAGCATCCCGCTGGCCAGCGTGGTGCTACCCAGCCGCGCGGAGAGAGTGGTGAGTGTCCCATGTGCCAGCTTAGGCAAAATGGAGTTGGAGGGCTTTTGCAATTTTTAAAAAATTGCACACTGTTAAATTTCAAACACATTCTAATGTGAGAAAAAAAGAACATCCCAAACCCATATACTTACGGTATATTTTGTAGTTTTTATCTCTACTCCGTTTCTCTGACAGAAGGCAGCGTTTGAGGTAGAGAGGAAATGAAACCCATGTCAGGAGGACCCCAGCCTCCCTCCTCCTCTAAAGCTATCTGTGGTGCTGCAGCCTGGCTCCCACACCCTGTTCTCCTGCCCCACATGGGTGGATGCACGAATGACCGTCAGTGTGGCCTGTGGCGGGCTTTCCTGGGCCATGACCGATTTCTTTTTGTTTTTTCATTGAATACAATTCACCCATTTTAATGGTTTTTAGTATATTCTCGGAATTGTGCAATTAGCTGCCTCTAACTCCAAAACATTCCATCACCCCCCAAAAGAAGCCCTATCTCCTCCCCACACCCTGATAACCATGGATCTATCTCCTGACACACCTGTTTTTCCCTTTGTAGAGAAGCACCCCAAGCCCCGTGCCGCAGCCCCGAGACTCCACGTCCACACTTGAAAAGCAGATCGGTGCTAATGCCCACGGTGCTGGGAGCAAGAGCCTTGCCCTAGCCCCCGCAGGTAAGGCCTGTACTTCCCCCACGACCTATGCCCGTCAGGTTGGCTCCAGTCTGAGTCCCTCCTGGCAGTGGGTCTGACCTGTAGCCACAGCGAGCCCCAAGGTAGCTGGGGGCTCTGCAGCCTCGGGCCTGGGTATCCCTGATACTGATGCACATGTTGGCTGTTGTGGCCTGTGCTGTGCCCCACTCCTGTCAGGGGTGGTTTTGTTGCTCACCCAGCTGCAAAGCATGGGGGTCTCTGAGGCCCAGGACTTGGGGATCGGCTGGGCACACAGTGGTGCCCGATGTAGGCGGCTGTGGTCTTCGGGTGTACAGCTGCTTTCTGGGTTCTGTTTTCCTTCGGAAAGCTTCAGCCACCTGGAGTTGTGTTAACACAGGGCTTTGCAAATGCTTTTGCTATAATGTCCCTCCCGTCATCCTACCTACCTGCCACTCAGTGTGCAAGCAGCCAGCGCCAATATGGAAATGGTTGGATGTAGCTGTGTGCCATTAAAACTTTATTTACAACAACAGGCTGTGGGCCAGACCTGTGGGCTATAGTGTGCTGGCCCTGTGTTAACTAATGCGTGGTGTGACATGGCAGTTACATTTTTATGAGTCAAGAGTAAAGTGCAAGAGCCTTTTTTTAGACAGAAACAGCCCGTGGACAGTTGTCTTCCCTAAGCCTGGGGAGGCCACCCAGTGACACCAGGTCCCTGGGGATGCCCTTGAGTCCAGGGATGGCCTGTCCAGTGCCCAGCGCAGGCGGCGCAGAGCTGTTCTCTCTGAAATAGTTATATCATCAGGACGTTTGTGACCAGGGCTTTGGAGGCGTCTAGGAGTGAACTCCCTGGCAGGCCCCACATGTGGAGTGGGAACTGTGGGTGCAGTTGCGCACGAGTCTCAGAACCACCCACAGCATGATCCCTCCCTCCCAGAGTGGGAGAAACCTCAGCCCGAGCTGGCCTTGCCTCCCCCACCAGCCACTGCGGTTCTTCCTTGTCCCTCAGCAGGCTCTCCTCCTCTCCTCCTGAGCCTCCTTACTCCTCTGGGCACCTTCCGTGCTGAGCACTCAGCGTTCTGACACGCCCAGGAGTGGAGAGATGTCAAAAGGACCATTCTGCAAGTCACATGTGGTACATGTACCAGGGTTTTGTTTTTTTTTTTTTAGAGACAGGGTCTTGCTCTGTCACCCAGGCTGGAATGCAGTGGTGTCATCACAGCTCACTGGAGCCTTCAACTCTTGAGCTCAAGCTATCTTCCCCACCTCAGCCTCCCAAAGTGCTAGAACTGTAGGTGGAAGCCACTGGACCCAGCCAGGGGCATTTTTTAGGGCTCTTTCTGGTACCTTTGTGCCAGGAATGTGCCACTGGCCCCACCTCCCATGGGCACCGAGCTGTCAGCGGCCAGGCCCGAGAGAGGAGAGCGTGCTGGAGCCAGGCTGGTGATGAGCTCCAGCCAGAGCACCTACCCGTCCCTCACACTGGAGCTGGGGCCACTGCTCCCCCGTCCCTGGGGTGGTCCTGAAGTGCAAGTGCAGCCTGGGGAGGAGGGACCTGAGAGGGCCCTTGGCGTTCATGGCTTCCATAGCAAGTGGCCTTGAGTTTCTGGGCCTAGAGCTGTCTTCTGGTCAGGAGGGAGGAGGTGGTTCTGGGGATCAGGCCCTGGGGCTCTTGCTGGGGCGGTGTCTCTGGTGTGGGAACATGGCCAGGCACACTTTGCTGTCCAAGGACGCGTAACCCAGCCTGGGACCAGTTCATGATAGATCCCAATGTAAGTGATGTCTCAGTTGAGACTTGGGGGCCTGGGCAGCTCAGCCCAGTGGCCAAGGCCCAGGTGTGCAAAGGCTTGACCCCCGAGAGTCTAAAGGTAGGGGCAGGTAGGCCAGGCTGTCGGGACCTGCCAAGGGGCACTACTGGGGCATGGTCAGGGTTGGGGTGAGATTTGGTGCCAGTGAGGGTCCCCAAGACCCCATGGAGCAGCATGGCAGGTCCCTCCCGCTTCTGACTCCCTGTCCCCTCCCACTCCCTCTCCTTCCATGTGACCCCAGAACACAGAACCCTCAATGTCGTTCTCTCCCACATGAGATTGACTTTGGAACCTTCCAGATCTGTACCCTCGGGCCATTTCTGCCTCCAGGACTGTCCCCGCTTCCCCAGGTTCTGATGGCTCTGCCCTGGGTGGCTCCTGAAGGAAGGCCTTCCCAAGACCAACTCCCTCCTCTGCCAGGATGGTTCCTGGCATCCACACTGTGGGCTCCAACCATTCTGCGTCCCTGAGAAACTGTGTCCCCCACAGGCTTCTCCTATGCCGGCTCAGTGGCCATCAGTGGGGCCCTAGCCGGCAGTCCCGCACCACTCGCCCCGGGAGCTGAGCCAGCCGCCTTCGAGGAGTCCTCTGGCTCGGGGAGCATCTTTGCCTCCGTGGGGTCCCGAAGCTCGACACCGCAGCACCTGCCCCTACTGGCACAGCCCCGCAGCTCTCGCCCAGCCTCTCCAGCCCACCAGCTCTCCGCCAGCCCCCGACTGGGTGGGGCCACCCAGGGCCCCCTCCCTGATGGCAGCAAGGGGGACCTGCCCTCTGATGCTGGCTTCTCAGATCCTGAGAGCGAGGCCAAGCGGAGGATCGTCTTCACCATTTCCGCCGGCATAGGCAGCGCCAAGCAGTCGCCTTCCAGCAAGCACAGCCCTCTGAGTGCGGGCACCCGTGGGGACTGCGGTCAGAGCCACGGGCAGGACAGCCGGAAGCGGGGCCGGAGGAAGCGAGCATCGGCTGGGACCCCCAGTCTGAGTGCGGGTGTGTCACCCAAGCGCCGGGCCTTGCCACCTGTGGCTGGCCTCTTCACGCAGCCGTCAGGGTCCCCCCTCAACCTCAACTCCATGGTGAGGACGGGGCTCGGGGCAGGTGGGAATAGGAGGGGGACTGGGACAGGGCTGAGGAGGCAGACATGGGCCTGGCTGCATAGCCCAGCCCATGTGAGCACAGGGAGGGGTCAGACTTGCCACTGCCATGTCAGGAGGCAGAAACTCCAAGACACCTGTCAGGCGCTCCGTCCTGGGGACCTGTCTGTCTGTGGGGCCTGTGCACATCTGCTTTGTTTCTGCTCCTCAGGTCAGTAACATCAACCAGCCCTTGGAGATCACAGCCATTTCGTCCCCTGAGAACTCCCTGAAGAGCTCCCCCATTCCCTACCAGGATCACGACCAGCCTCCCGTGCTCAAAAAGGAGCGGCCCCTGGGCCAGACCAACGGAGCACACTATTCCCCACTAACCTCAGACGAGGAGCCTGGCTCGGAGGATGAGCCCAGCAGTGCCCGGCAAGTTACGGGGTGGGTGGGCAGCAGGGCCTGGTGGGCGTGGGTGGGTGCAGTGTCAGGTGCCGGCTGGTGCTGGCTCAGAGGAAGGTGTCGACTTTGTAGGATGCACCTTTCCGAAAGTCCTGCGAAAGCATCGGGTGTCGTCTGCTTCCCAGGCAGTGTGGGCTCTGTGTGCCTGAGGCCGGGCAGGGCATCTTCCCTGGGGTCAGCAGGTGTCCTGACACAGGTTTAACATCTCTGGGTTAGGAGAGACAAATGAGTAGAGTCAGCCACAGCACAACTCTACTGTGTCCACCTTTTGGGCTACTATTGGCCAGATAGCACGTCTGGCCCAGTTTATCTTACTGTGAAGAACTATTTCTTTTTTGAATAATAGCTTTATTATATGTAATTTGCATACCATGCTGCCCATTTATAGAATTCAGAGGTTTCCAGTATATTCACAGGACTGTGTGTCATTATTATCTAAATCCAGAATGTTCCATCATCTCATCCCCATGAAACACTAACTCCCTGGCCCCTGGCACCCACGGACCCACATCTTGCCTCTGTGGATCTGCCTGTTCTGGACATTTCATATAAATGGAGTTTCACACTGTGTGTCCTTCTGTGTCTGGCGTCTCTCACTGAGTACGATGTCCTCAAGGTGCATACACACTGTGGCCTGTGTCAGATCCTCGTTCCTTTTCATGGCTGCGTGATGTTTCACGTGTGGATGGTCCATGTAGTGTGTCCATTTACCCATCATAGGACACATGGGTTGTGTCCACCTTTTGGGCTATTATGAATCATGCTGATGTGAACGTGGGTGTACCAACAGGTCTTTGACATCTGCTTTCAAATCTTTTGGTGTATTCTCAGAACTGGAATTGCCAAATCACATAGTTAAATCGTATCTAAGTTTTTAAAGAACCGCCTTGTTTTCCTTGTGCCATTTGCGTTTCTGTAGGCTGGGGTTCCGATTTCTCTACATCCTCACTGAGACTTCTTTTCTTTTAATTGTAGCCATTTGAGTAGATGTGAAGTGGTATCTCATTGTAGTTTTTTCCCTTTGTTTATTTGCTTAAATTTAGGGTGGGTAAAAGTGCTTTTCCATTTGATGGTCCAAAGGGATTCAAGCCCCTTATCAGATACACAATTTGCAGATCTCCTTTGGTCTCACTTGGCGCCACTGGTGTCCTTTGAAGCACAGAGGAGTTAACTTTTAACTGGGTCCCATTTGTCTCTTTGCATTTGGCGTCTCTGCTTTTGGTGTTTTGTCAAGATGTCCATTTTGTTTCTATTCCACCTGTGTGAGTTATGTTAAAAACACGTTTTGCACTTGGGTGCTCTGTTTTTGTGTTGGGAACGCCCAAGGCAGGGATTCCAGAATCTTTGGGGATTCCTCTATGTCCTGGGGGTTGCAGTGTCATCTGGGGTATACAGTAAGACTACGGACACATGGGACTCGTGATTTAACACTACTGCGAATCCTAGCTCCATGCACAGCTGGGACCATATGCTGGGACAAACACAGAGGGGCTTGTGAGAGGAAAGAATATCTCCCCTGGGGACTCGCCTGCTTCCTCTGGCGTGCTGTGGCTGAGCTCTCAGCCTGTTGCCCCAGCAGAGGTCTTGGAGTCCCTGTCAGGACGGTCCCTAGTGCTGGGGCCGGCATGATGGGGGCAGGTCCTGGCCCTGGGGATCCGGCCTCGCCAGTGGGTCCTCCTGTCGGTGGAGAGTGCGCTGTGCCTCACCCGCCTCCCCTTCCTGGAGCTAGTCATTGTTAGCGTTTGTACAGCTCTCTAAGTGCATGGTTGGATTTCAAACATTAATGATGTTTTTTTCCCTCAGAATTGAGAGAAAAATTGCAACGATTTCCTTAGAAAGCAAATCTCCTCCGAAAACCATGGAGAATGGTGAGTAGTGAGTACTCCTAGGGTCTCAGATGCCCAGGGCCAGTTCCTTTGCTTGGGGTTAAGCTGCCCTCTAGACTCATCTCTGGTGGTGGCGCTTGGCATAGCCCAGGGCCACCCTGGGCAGAGGATGGGCATCTGCCAAGCTGGCACCTGCTGTGTGGCAGCGATGGGGGCCTCCTCACATTCCTGGCCACATGACTATCTGTCTCCTTGCTCCCTGCCTCCCCAGGCTGCCATGGCCCCACCTGCCTGTGCCTGTGTGGCCCCTCAGTCGCCCAGGGACAGCCCATCCTTGCTCAGAGCTGTATTCACCTTGGTACCTTTTCGTCCCTGGGAGACGCTGGTTCTGGGCAGAGTCTGGCCCTGAAGGCTTCTCTCCATCCCCAGACCACCCCAGCCTCCAGCTCTGCTGCCCAGTCTCAGCCTCGGACCTGTTGGGGGATATAGCCCTGCAGGGCCACTGCCCGGGGTGGCCCAGGTCTCACGCCTCTGCCTGTCCTCCCTGTCAGGTGGCAGCTTGGGAAGGAAGCTGACGCCTGCGAGTGAGCCCGTCAACAGCAGCAAGTGGAAATCCACCTTCTCGCCCATCTCCGACATCAGCCTGGCCAAGTCTGCAGACAGCCCACTGCAGGCCGGCTCCGCCCTGAGCCAGAACTCCCTGTTTGCGTTCCGGCCTGCCCTGGAGGAGCCCGTCACCACCGACGGGAAGCTTGCTGCTCACCCTAGGAAAGGCTTTCCTAGCTCCCTGGCGGGGACCGATGGACTTAGCCCAAACGCCAACCCCTCCCACGGCTTTGCCTTCAGCGGGAGCCTGGCCGCAGAACTCAACTTACACAGCTTCAGCGATGGTGCTTCTCTCGCTCATAAGGGCCCCGAGGCTCTGGGCTCCCCGCTGAGCTTCCCCTCGCAGAGGGCCAAGGAGGCCGCGGAAGCCAACCCCTTCCTCGGCAAGAGGCAGCTGGACGGCCTGTCCAGCCTGAAGGCCGAAGGCTCCAAAGGCAAAGAGGTGGGCGAAGGCGGCCTGGCCCTGTGCGGGCCTGGCGAGAAGGCGCCCCCACCATTGGGCAGCAAGGCCAGCAAGGGCCGGGACCGCGACCTCGATCTCAAGAATGGCCACAACCTCTTCATCTCTGCCGCAGCCGTGCCTCCCGGGGGCCTCCTCAGTGGCCCTGGCCTGGCCCCAGCGGCATCCTCTGCAGGCGGTGCGGCCCCTACCGCCCAGACTCACCGGCCCTTCCTGGGCGCCTTCGCCCCGGGCCCACAGTTCACGCTGGGGCCCGTGTCCCTGCAGGCCAACCTCAGCTCGGTGGCCGGCTCATCTGTGCTGCAGTCCTTGTTCAGCTCGGTGCCGGCTGCTGCGGGCCTGGTCCATGTGTCCTCTGCTGCCACCAGACTGACCAACTCACACGCCATGGGCAACTTCTCCTCCGGGGTGACAGGCGGAACAGTTGGAGGTAGGCAGGAGTGTACTCTCCCGCCTGTTGGTCCCAAGGACAGGGCTCTGGCTCCCCTGTAGGTGGCGACTCCTGGACAGCTGGGGCTGGTCACTGGCTGCCTCACAGGGTCCCTTGGAGGGCCTGGCACAGGGCGAGCAGCTGCGCCCCCAAGGCCCCTTGTCTTCACTGGTACCTGCAGCCTCATTCCCATCAGGAAATCCTGGCAATGGTTGTGTGGGCAGTGGATTCCTTGCCGAGCCACCTGTTGGGTTCTCTGGTTGTAACGGCGTCCCTCTCGTTTTCAGAAGGCCACGGTGCACATGGTCACTAGGGCATTACTCTCTCCCGCGGAGGTCACCTGTTTAAGAGTGACCGCCCCGGGCCCTGGCACAGCCTGGGAGCTGGTGGTGTAGGAGCAAGTCCTGCGGTGCCTGCCGCAGATGCAGGCAGGAGTGGAGCCAGGCCGGAGCGGCGCCCTGGGCCGGGCGGGCTCCCTGCGGGGCGGGCGGCAGGTGGGCCCGGAGGGGCGGGCGCCCCACGCAGGTAAGCTGGTGCCTGCGCTGCCGCTGCCTGCGCTTCGAGCCTGCACGCACTGGAGCTGGCCTGCGACCTGCTTCCCCTCTGTGCTGCGCTTCTCTTCACTTGGACTGGACAGTGCCCACCTGTTGAAGCTGAGTTTTTCTCTCCTGTTTGCAGGTGTCTTTAACCACGCGGTGCCTTCCGCCTCTGCTCATCCGTTTGGAGCCCGTGTCGGCCGTGGGGCCGTATGTGGCAGCGCCACGCTGGGCCCGAGCCCGCTGCAGGCGGCGGCCAGCGCCTCGGCCTCTTCCTTTCAGGCCCCGGCCTCGGTCGAGCCTCGGCCGCCCCCTCCGCCTCCGCCTCCCCCACTCCCTCCGCCTCCGCACCTGGGCCGGCCCCCTGCGGGGCCACCCACCCTCCACGCACCCCCTAACGCCGCCTTGCCTCCTCCCCCCACGCTGCTGGCCGCTAACCCCGAGCCCGTGCTTCTGCAGAGCCTTGCGTCCATCCCACCTAACCGCGCTTTCTTGCCCCCTGCCTCTGCCGCCTCCCTGCAGCCTGCTAACGCCTCTTTGTCTGCCAAGCTGGCCTCCCTCCCGCACAAGGGCGCCCGCCCCTCCTTCACGGTGCACCACCAGCCCCTGCCTCGGCTGGCCCTGGCGCAGGCCGCGCCCGGGATTCCACAGGCCAGCACCACGGGGTCGTCCGCTGTGTGGGTTTCCCTTGGCATGCCGCCTCCTTATGCCGCGCACCTTTCGGGGGTTAAGCCGCGATAAAGACTTGCTTAGCTAGCAGTTCGTATTGTGTAAGGTAAGGCCAGAGCCACGCCTGCTGGCTCATTCGAGACTGAACTGCCCTTCCCTGGCACAGAGGATGGCCGCAGGGCCCTGCGGAAGGGCCGGGGGTTCTGAGGTGGAAAGAGGGAGACAGTGCCATAGGAGGGCCTCCGAGGGGCAGTGAGCACTGGTCATGGTGTGGCCTGAGCGCAGGGCCAGCGGAGCTCGAGAGTGTTCTGGGGCTGTGGCTGCCCGTGGTAACCCTGGTCCTGCACCAGCCCTGGCAGGGGAGGCTCCCAGAGTGGCCTCTGCGTCCCAGCCTAGTTCCAGGGCGCCTGGCACATGGCAGGCACAGTGTCCGCGGCAGAGTCGCCAGGAACTAGGGTGGTGTGATGGCAGCCCCACGCCAGCCTTGAGGACTCCTCCCAGGGCAGGGTGGGGAACCTGCAGCCCGAAGGCCACTGTGGCCTTCTGGGTCCTTAAGTGCAGCCTTTTGGCTGAATCCAGATTTTACAGAACAAATCTTTTTATTAAAAGGGGAGCAGCAGAGAAATAGGAAGCTTTTCTTGCCTCTTGTGGTGCTTAAAATTTAAGAGCAATCTTGAAGTCAGGAGGCCTAGGGCATTAAGAAAATGCACCACCTGTGAGGCCTTGGTGCTGCCTGCCTTCTAAGACCACCTGCTCTGGGGGAGCCGGGGGTGACAGGCGAGGCCACTAGGGCAGGTTCTGTGGCGCCCTGTGGCTGTGGCACACAGCCAAGGGCTCTCAGTCCAGAACATCAGGGCTGAGCTGGACCCACCAGTGCAGACAGGGCCACCTGGAGGCCAGGAGGATGTTGGGGTGAGAGTTTGTTGGGTGCCAGTCTGGCAGAAAGCATGCCACCCCGTTCCCCCAGGGAGACAGTGTCACCCTCAGCCTCCAGTGAGGACTGGGACAGGAGCTGGCTGCAGGGCCATGTGCTGCCTGCTGCCCTCAAGTGTGTGTGAGTGGACACAGACCTGAGGCTTGGCTGCTGGGTGGGATCAGTGACTACTACCTGGTCAGTGCTGTTCACTAGAGGGCTGGGGACAGGTGTGCCGGGTCCTGCCAGAGTCCTGGAGGTAGGGTGGCTTTAGCTGGATTCGTCCTCAGAGGCGGCGGTGGTGCTGCTGGGCAGTGTCTCCTGTCCTCGCAGGGGCTGCTGGAGGAAGGCAGGCAGTTGGTGTCGGGCTCTCGTGTTGGCCCACAGGGTCACTCGCCTCCAGCAGAGGGAGCTAGCCCTACGCCTGCTTCAGACGGTCCCCGCTGTTGGGGGCAGCCCCAGCCCAGCGTGTCTCGTTCACACAGGAGACCTTCAGTCCCCTGGCCTGGGTGTGTGTGGGGCGCCTCAGAGCCAGGTGCTAATAGCTCTCCCCGCTGTGCCCCTACAGGTAACTAGGACTTCTACCTCAACCGCGAGACCTATGCAAGGACGGTGTGGACCAAGGCGCCTGCTACACGGTGCTTGCCAGCCTGCCCGGCTCCCCTGAGCAGCGAGGAGGACGGGAGGACGAGCTCTACTGTGAATCGCGGCACACCCGCAGGAGAGGCTGGGCCTGGTCCAGTTGTACTGTCGATAGTTTTAGATAAAGTATTTATCGTTTTTTAAAAAGTATAAACAATTCTGACTTATTTTATTCCATCTAAGTCGTCAGAGGCAACTTATTAAGAAATATAAATATCTATATATAAGAGGATCTATATAAAGACGTGTGTGAAGGGCTGGCCCGCCAGCGGAGACGCCGACAGCCTGCCCTGGTGCTATCGTCCCGGCCGCGCCCTCCACCGTGCTTGGTGCTGAGCCTAGATGCTGACCAACGCCGACGCCTGTTCTCAAGCTCCCGCCTGCCCTGTCCTATACCAAAGGCAAAGGCACGCCCACCCCTACTCCCCATCCCTGCGCCTTCCCCTCCCAGCCCTGCACTGTGAACGCCCAGACTTTTAACCCTGGGGCTCAGGATCCTGCCTTTGGCATAGGAACAGCTGTGCAGGCCCCTCCCCCGTGCGTGGCGACGTGGCCTTGCGGGCCGAAAGGAGTAGGCCCCATACTCAGCTCTGTGGTCTGTTCTGAGTGGTGCTCTGAGGAGGGGTCATGTGGGACCCCCAGTGGCTGGGTGGGCCTGTGTAACAAGTGCATTTACTTTGTATCTCTTTGCTGTTGTGGCTCGGAGCACGCGTGTGACATGGCAGGTCGTCGGTCGTGGGTCCCTGGTGTTTCTGTATAGGAGAGAGTCACGCTGAGGAGTGACAGTATTTTATAGATCTGATGAGAATTTATACATTTCATAGACTTGACTGCATTTATTTTTAGATGGTATAATGCACAGTGAACTTTAAAAAGAAAAACAAGGGGAAAATCTTTTATTTATTCAAGTGCACAAAAGTGGCCCCCAGGCCAGACCCTGCCTGGCCGCAGCCCCAGGAGCCTGGAGCGGAGCTGCCACCCCTACTGGAGTCGCCCAGGCCCACGTGGCCCCCGTCAGGTTCATGGTCATGTCCACCGTGCATGTCTGCAGGTTCTCGCAGCTCCTGTGGGTGTGCTGGGGCCATGTGTCTCTGGCCCCAGGCCTGGGTTTACTGCTTAACCCCTCCCCCTGCCCCAGCCTTGGGACGGGGTGTGGACGGTACAGCAGAGGCTGAGCTTGGTGGGAAGGCAGAACTGTTCCAGGCGTTCCCAGAGGTTCATGAAGGGTCTGGGGCTTCTCAGTTGTCAGAGCAGTGGTGTCTGGGGGGAGCCCTAGGTCCCCTGACAGGGTAAACATTGGCCACAGGCCACCCACTGGGGCTGGTAAATGGCAGGGGGTGTCCACCACCCCAAGGTTTGTGTCTGGGCCTCACTGGGGCTGTTGTCAAGTGTTTGCTCCTACAAGGCGGCATCAGGGGCCTGTCTTCCCTTCCCAGAGACTGCTGGCAGCCAGCCCTGGCGCTTTGCTGTGCTCAGCCAGAGCAGGTGTGCCCCCACCACCACCACCAGTGGAGGGAGCCCTGTGCTCGGCTCCCAGCTGGGGGAGGGCCTGGAAGAAGCCTGCTCGGCTGTCCTGTCCCACTCCGACCCCATCCCAACAGCCTGTATCTCAGATCCCTCCACCCCAGCAGTAGACTCTGAAGATGGTGCTTGAGACCGGCATTCACACTGGCCCGTCCTCCCTTGGGTGGTGGCTCTGGGTCCCTTCCTCCCTTCACGTTGGTGCTCTCAGCTTGTAGGTGCTGTGCCCTGGCCTTCAGGACAGGGTGGCCACTGGGCCCAGGGAGCCAGGGCTGAGCTGCCCAGCATAGCTCCCTGAGACGCTGTGGGGTTGAAACAGAGAGGGTAGCCTGTCCCTAGAACAAAACACATTCTTTCATAAACACTGTATGCTTCTACCCACCACCCCAGAGACGCGGGCGGCTCGGGTGCCAGTGCAGGTCCTGCTGATGAGTGCTGGGCTTCTGCTGATGTGCCACGTGTAGCTGATCCTACAGAACCGATGTCCATGTATACTTGAGTGTTGGGATACCAAGTACCACATGTCTGGACACGCTGGGTCTCAGGTGCAGCTGGCACGGGTGGAGTCTCAAGCCTGTTGGGGACCACGCGTGCATCCACACACACACTAACCCTGATACCAATGGCCACGGTGGCCCCCATTATCTGAGCCCCAGTACTGTGCCCACCCAGATGCCCCCAGAGTAGCATCAAGATGCCACTGCGCAGGGATGCGGGTGGCAGGTGCAGGATGACTGGGGCCCCGTGGACCAGGGGTCTGGCGCTGTTGCCTGGGCTGGCTTCACCAGGGCAGCTGTCTCGTGGCGTCGTGCTGCTGACTGTGGGCCGCTGCAGGAAAGCCTGGGGGGCTGCCCAGTGGCCCTTGCTCAGGAACCCTTAAGGAACCCCCTAATGACTAAGACAGCCCCCCCCGAGGCCCTGCGAGGCACCTTGCCTGGCCAGCAGGGACTAGCCTGCAAATGGTGACTTATTTATTTATCCACCCCCAGGACGCATCCTTCTGCTCAGGGGTCAGTAGGGGACCCCCCTTCCCACCCACCCGCCATTTGGTCAAATGGTCCATCCACCGGCTGCTTCTTTTTCTCATGTCTCAGCTTTTGTAACTCAAGCTTTGCTGTCTTTACGGTGAACTCTGTATCTGAACTGCGTGCATTGTCACGGTTCCCTGCGGGCTGCTGCCTGGCCCTTCCCATGGCACTCCGCCGCATCTTGCGTTTCCACCTCTAGATGCTGTAATAAAGAGACTGTTTTCACTTGGACCTGGTCTGAGAGGTTTATTCCTGGGTGACACAAGGCATCCCTGAAGTGGGACTATCCCCTGGCAGCAGCTTTGGGTGCTGAGGCTGGCAGAGGTGCCCTGCCCAGGAGGGCTCACGCTGGTCAAGCCAGACCCCTGGGACAGCCTTTCCTCTGTCTTCCCCCTGAGGAACTCAAACAAGCTGACATGGCGCCCTGTTGGCAACAAGGAGCAACACTCTTGGGCTTTACCTAGTCCCGTGGGTGAGAGGCCAGTCGAGGTCCCGGCCACACCCAAGGGCAGTGCCCTGGACACTAGGGCTGCGACTAGTCACCTTAGGAGTCCTGCGACCCCACTGCACTCCATCCTGGGGGTCCCAACTGCCCACACCTTTCCTGGCTTAGGGTTCTAGGTCTCCCTCAGCACAGGTGACCCAGCCCCTGCCCCTCAGGCACTAAACACTGAACCTGGAGGAGACCCCAACCCTGGGCGCCTCCCCCCTCTCTCAGAGCAAGGGCCTCCCCAGCCTGGGGAGGCTGCCCCAGCCCCTCTTCCTTCACTCCACCACCATCCACCACGGAACAGAGGTACCTTTATTTGAACAAAACGAGACACTGGCCTGGGATGACTCTCCCCAGGAGTCCGGCAGATTCACAGCTGGTTGAGGGAGACAGCCCCTCACCACATTCACAGCATCGTCTAGCTTAGTCTAGCTGAGTACATTCGCCCGGCGCAGGACAGGAGTTGCACCAGCCCAGGTGCGTGTGGAGCCTGGATGGACACAGCTGAGGGGCTAGGGCGGAGCTCCTGGGAGTGGACGTTCATGCCTGGAAGCAGCACGTGGCACCAAGTGCCAGACCAGTCCAGTAGGTCCCAAGGCACGGAGAGAGCAGCTTGCCGGGTCACTTCTCCAAAAAGGCAGCCCCTGCCCACCCTCACCCTGCCTTAGGCTTTGGTCTTCAAACCCAAACGCCTCCCACTGAAAATCCAGGCTTGGGTAGGGCAGGCAGCCGCCTGTCTCATGCCTTCAAGCTGCTCAGCTGAAACCTGGCCTCCTCAGATATGCCAAACTGCTCCAGGGGGTCCTGCAAGGCAGATGGGTGCCATGAGCCAGGCCCGGAAGACTGTCCCTGCCACCCCCAGGCCCGCACGCACTTTGCCTGTCATCTTCTGAATCTCTTTCCTATAGAAGATGAGGCTTCTCCGCATGAACTCGTAGCTGCAGGAGAGGGCAGTGCTCGGTCAGATTCCCACTTGGCAGAGCCGCTGTGCCCCAGCCCTCAACTGTCCCCCCACATCTCACTGGGCCCAACCTGGCCTGACGCAGAGCTTCAGTCCATTCCTGACATTGTTCCTCGCTGCAGCACTCAAAGTAGTACTTCCTCTCTGGGTCCTCGATGAAGCCTGGGGAGGGAGACAGCCCTGCTCTGCCAGCCACAAGCCCTCTGCCAGCCCTCCTCTTGCCGGCGCCCCAAAACCATCCCCCTCTGGCCCCAGCATCCCGTCATCCTTCTGCCTACTATGCGCTGAATTTCATCCCCAGAACCTAGAAAGATGGCCCTAAATCCTATCTAACTAGTCTCTTTATAAAAGGGAGAAACTTGGGAATCCCAAACGCACACAGGGAGAACTCCCTGTGAACATCGAGGTGATGATGGTTCTACAAAACAAGGAGACCAAGGATTGCCGGCCACCACCCGAAGCCCAGAGAGAAGCCCCCCAAACGACCCAGCCTTGATATCAGACCTCCAATTTAAGAAACTGTACAGAGGTGTTTCTGGTACTCAAGCCACCCAGTATGCAGAACTCTTACGGAGACCCTGGCAAACCGGGAGAGGCCCCACCATCCCCTGCACACGTGCATCTCCCACGGAGACCCGGGAGCACCCCCCTACCCCCGTCCGCAGCACGGGGCTCGGCAACCCACAGAGCGACCATTCTGGTGGCGGCTCAGGAAGCGACTCGGACGGCTGTCCACCAGGCCTCGTGCGAACAGCCGGCGTCCCACGGGCGGGAGCCTCTGGGCCACCTGGCAGGTGCGCGGAGTCGCCCGGGGCGAAGGCCTGACCTTGAGCTGCCCGCGAACAAGGCACTCTCGTGCCTGGGGAGGCTCCGCGGCCGCGCACCCCACGCACTCACTGATGGAGAAGCCGCTGGGCTCCTCACGGGCGACTCTGCAGCGCTCCAGCAGCAGGGCTCCGACGGGCTGGTGAGACACAGGGCGCCGGCAGTGAGCGCGCGGCTCGCGGGGACCCCCGCCCTGGCCCGCACCCCGCGCCCTACCTCGGCCTCGTCCGTGCGGAAGTAGAAGAGGAAATTCACCACTAGCTTCACCAGCCGCCGCTTCACCACTGCGGGCACAGAGCGGGCTCAGGGCGGCCGCGGGACCCCGCCCCGGCCCCCCGCTCGTCCGCGCCCCGGCCCCCGGCCCCCCTCACCGCTGCCCTTTTTGGGGCCCCGCATGCCCAGCTCGGCCGCCAGCTCGGCTGGCTGCCGGGACAGCGCCTGCAGCTCCTTCTCGTTGTAGCGCATGGCGCCGGGGACCAGGGGTACAGCGGGGACCTGGGCGCGGGCCGGGCCGTGGCCGCCGCCAAAAAGGTCTCGAGGCGCAGTTCCGGAAGCGCCGCGCGAGTTGCTGCGCCTGCGCGCTCGGGGCCGGCTGTTCCCGCTGGCACCACTGGGGGCCGCACGTAACCTTGAAACAGGAAATAAGCCGGACCCGGGTGGAAGGAGAACCAAAGCACCACCCCACCCCTGCGACCCGCGGCGCCCGCCCCCACGGCCGCCGGGCGCAGGCGGAGGGAGCGGTAATGTTTTGGGGAGGCTCAGCCCTCCCTCTCGCGAGAGCCAGTCCTGCGCGACCGGGAGCCCACAGAACACTCGCTGAGAGCGTTGTGCGCACGCGCACCTCGACTTCCGGCCTCAAGTTCAGCCCTGCCCCCTTGAGCCCTTTCTCTCGCGCCTCCACAGAGCCTCCGGGCCGCGCGCTGGACGGGCCGGGCATGCGCAAACGGCAGGCTCCGGCCCGTTTGCCCCGGAAGTGCTTGTTTCGCCCGCCACGCGCGTGCGCAGAGCCAAGTCGTGGCGGTGGCCGATAAAGCCTGGCCAGCTAGGCCTCAGGTGCGTGTGAGTAGCGGTCCCAGGTGTGGGCGGCGGCCGCCGGGGTCCCGAAGTTCCCTAGAAGCGGGCGGATATGGGAGCAAGGCGCCTGCAGCAGGGGTCGCGGGCTGAAGGGCGCGTGGGCGGCCTCCCTCATCCTGCGGGCGTCCAGCCTCCCGCACCCCGCGCCCTCCGGCACCCCGCGCTGGGTGGGACCCTCTTTGCCCTCTCACCTCTTTCCCGGCAGACCCGTTGGGGTCTGGGCTGAGATCGCAGCTAAAATGGCCTCGGGCGCCTTCCGTGTATCCCAGGGCTTTTCGGAGTCCTAACTTATATCTGTTAGTTGACTGGCTTTGGGATCGTGGCGGGTCACTAAAAGACACCGCGAGCATCAGTTAGTTGTCTTAACTGTTAAGACGGGAGTAACAGCCTCAGCTCCACGCCGGGGGCGACCTGAGACGGTAGCTGGCTCACTTTGCAGGTGCATCCCCGGGCGCTTAGACTTACGACCCCGGGTCCGCAGCTCTCATCTGCTCTTTGGCAGCACAGAACAGCTGGGAGGAGCTCTGAAAAGTAGGTTGCTTGCTTTTAAGAAGATAATTGTATTTCCACCAAAACAGCAATTAGTTCCTGATCGCTGGTCCAGTCCCAGGCCCCAGAGGCTGCCTCTCCTCAATTCTTAAAGCCGTTTTCGCTGGTCTTTACCTTCATAAATAACACACTTCTTTCTGGTTATATCGACTTTTAGATATCATCTGCTGATTTCTTATCAGGGGCGGTGAGATCTTACTTTTCCTTCCCATTCTCCCACTGCAGCATCCCTTTCTATACTCTGAATGAGTTTATATCACAAACTTTAGTCAAATTAGTGGTCACATTTTCCAAGGCTGAAAATACTGTTGGCTGATAAACCAAGTAATACGTTCAACTAAATTCCTTTTCTTTTACCCTCCCTCAAAGCTAATTAACTTCAGGATTTTCTTTTTTGTTTCATTAGCCTGGTTTTTATTTCACTTGTTAATGTTTTCCTCAAAGCTTCAACGTCTCACACACCTATCCAAGTGCATTTTCCACAGGTTTTGATAAAGTGATCTCCTCTTCTCTTCTGCCAGACTCCCAAATATTCCTGCTCCAAATTAGACTGGTTGTTGTCTAGCCTTGCAGCAGAGCTGTTTTCCCAGACCTTTGTGTCATTTCTCTCCTGGACTGGCTTCTGTTTTCCATCTGGCCATATCTTTTCTTTTTTCTTTTTTTGCAAGTGTGAAATAAAGTTTATTAAGGAAGTACAAGGTAGATTTACCGAGCAAGATATAAGTTTAAAGAGTAAGAGCAAGATACATTTGCCACGGAACAGTGTACAGACACCTCTGTTGTGACAAAAGGGCCTCTTTTCTTCATTCTATCAGAGCAGATCTCCTGGTAGCTTCTGAAGTAATAGGTGATTTTTTTTTTTTTGAGTCCGTGATTATCTGAAAAATGACTTTATTTTACTCCCATACTTAGAAGTTTGGCTGAATATAAAAATCTAGATTGAAAGTCCGTATTCAGATAGCGAAAGTATTGCTTTAGTTTTTGGTGTTGCTCTTGGAAGGTCTGGCCCTATTCTGGTTTCTGATCTTTTGTTTCCATTTTTCTTTCTGTCTAGCGGAAGCCTAAGATTTTCCTTGGTGGTATAAAAAATCCATTTATTGAGGGTCTTTTTATTTGTTGATCTGGGTGGGTCCTTTTTACCTGGACAATTAGGTCCTTTTCCTCCTGAGATTTTTTTTTTTTTAATTTCTTTGAGAACACTCTTACTTGTTTGATAATATTCTGCTATTTTTATTTTGTTGGATTTTTTCTTCCTGTTCTTATTCTGGAATTTCATCTAGACTCTTGCTTTTCCTATTTTTTTTTTCAATTTTTTGTTGTTCTTTATGAAAGATTTGACTCTTATCTTGATGCTCTGGTATTGAATTTTTTTTTTTTTTTTTTTTTTTTTGAGACAGTGTCTCACTTGTTGCCCAGGCTAGAGTGAGTGCCGTGGCGTCAGCCTAGCTCACAGCAACCTCAAACTCCTGGGCTCGAGCGATCCTTCTGCCTCAGCCTCCCGAGTAGCTGGGACTACAGGCATGCGCCACCATGCCCGGCTAATTTTTTTTTTTTATATATATCAGTTGGCCAATTAATTTCTTTCTATTTATAGTAGAGACGGGGTCTCGCTCTTGCTCAGGCTGGTTTTGAACTCCTGACCTTGAGCAATCCGCCCGCCTCGGCCTCCCAAGAGCTAGGATTACAGGCGTGAGCCACCGCGCCCGGCCTGGTATTGAATTTTTTGTTTGGATCCTCCCATTTTTACTTTTCAGGGGCTTCTTTTTGTTTTAATTTGACTCCTTATTACTTGGCTTCCTATTCAGCTTCAGGGCACAGTAACTTCCCGTATAATGAAGAAGCATGTTAACAATATCTTTGTTGGCGTTTCCATCGAGTTTCTTTTTTCTCAGATACATCTTGAACATCTCCTGTGCATTAGGTGGTGAGGATCTGCAGAGAGATGTCTTCATGCCTCCATCAAATTTACAGCTGAGCACAAGAAATAGAGTTTAGGTTGGGATGAGTCAGTGTAGCCAATCAGAAAGGGACTTTGAACACTGGAGGGTTGAGGGCAGTTAGTGAAGACTTCCTGGAGGTGGTGACTCATGAGAACTTGAACTTGTCTTGCCTGATTGGGCCTTCTGTGTGCTTTGCATTGGCATTTCACTCTGGGCTGTGACCTCCTTGCCACCATCCTCCAGGGTCACTTGCAGATGTGCCCATGATCCTTTAGGACCTGTGTTGGGAGCCTCTCAAAACAGGTTCTGGCTTCCTGTTTCTGTGCCTGTCCCACAGGGGCCCCAGCCTCCTGGGAGAGACTTGGTGGAATAGGTCATGGTCCCTAGGCCTGGCTGCATTCCAGGTGGGGGGAGTGCAGATGAGGGCGGGTCCCAGCTGCAGCCACCATACCTGAGCTGTCATAGTCACTCTCCTCTTTCTCCACAGGCTTCACCCCAGTCTGCTGAAGCCCTAAGGCTGGCACCATGGACTTCCAGCATCGGCCCGGGGGCAAGACCGGGAGTGGGGGCGTGGCCTCCTCTTCTGAGAGCAACCGTGACCGGAGGGAGCGCCTCCGGCAGCTGGCCCTAGAGACCATCGACATCAACAAGGTGTGCCCTGCATGCTTTCGGGGGGCACTGGGAGGGGACGAGCAGGGGCCTGGGGTCAGGACAAGGATCCAAGGCGTCCAGGAAGAGGTGCTGCAGGGCTCTACCCAAGACCTGGCCCCTGCGCACATTGGGCTGGGAGCTAAACCTCGGAACTTGACCCTGGCTTGTTCGGAGACCCCAGGGGTCCTGGGCCAGATGGTTCTCTGGGGTGGGGCCTTCCTGGGCATCACAGGGTGCTGAACAGCATCTCTGCCTCCACCTACTCCATGCCAGGGGCCCTCCCCAGCTGTGACAACCAGTGTCCCCTGATGTTGTCTTCTTGGGTAAGACCCCTGGCATCAGCGTGTGGTTCCCCTCACACTCTAAAGTCCACTGAGACGTGCCCAGCCCTTGCCGTGTGCTGGGTGCCCCTAAAGGGCCTCATGGGCTTGGCCTGTGAAGTGCTCCTGTTATTGTCCCCATCTTCCAGATGAGGAAGCAGGCTCAGAGAAGGGTGGCACAGCTGTGGGTGGTGGGGTTGGGAATTGAGCCCTGATCTGTCTGTTCTGGCTCTTAAGGTGAGAAGCGGACACACTGGTGCCTCTGCTGCTGGAAGGAGGGAACCCAGCTGCCCTGGCTCAGGGCCTGCGGGAACGTGGCTCTTGAGGCCACTTGTCTGGCCCATTTGCTTTTCTTCTGCCTGTGTCTGGCTCGTGCTGACACTTGGCCCATTGGTGTGGTTGGGGACAGACCCCTGCCTGGGAGACAGTGACTAACAATGCTGTCCTGGCTCTGCCCCCCTTAGACTCAGAATGTGAGCCTGGGACTCCCCAGAGTCAGGCGCGCTGGCCCTGCTGAGTTGGCCGCTGCACTTTCATGAGACCCCAGATGGTCTGCACCAGTGTCATCAAGGTCTCTTGCCAGGCCACAGACCCCGGTCTCGCCTGGTCCTGCGTCTCAGTGACACTCAACCAGCCACGAGTGCCCTGCCACAGGGCAGGGACATCTCGGTGTGGGTGTGATCCGCTGCTGTCTAACTGGACTGTTTGTTCCCTCCCCAGGACCCCTATTTTATGAAAAACCACTTGGGTTCATACGAATGCAAACTCTGCCTGACGCTGCACAACAACGAGGTGCGTTCTCGGGGCTCTCGTGAGTCTGGCCTGGGCCGGGCTTCCCGAGGTGCTGCCCTGCCCCACAGCTTCCTCCCCTTGCCCAGTGCAGTGTGTCCCTCCAGTGTTGTGTCACCCTGTCCCTGGCATGTCCCAGCCCCCAGCCCTGTCCCCTGAGAAAGTATTACAAGCCTGGGCCCACCACTCAGAACTGACCGCTCACTCGCTGGGGAGTTTGCTTTGAGTCGTGTCTTTTTGTGGAAAAAATTTGGCTATAAGTACAGGCTGAATCCCTTCGTCGTCAGCTCTGTCCTCGACTCCTGGCTCCTGAGGCCACCACCACTGCCGGTTTGCTGGGCGTCCTTCTTTGGACACTGTTGATACCATGTCTCACATAAGCATATGTCTGTGAGCAGCAGGTGTGGCATGAGCGACAGGCACTGTCATGTGCTTTTTGTGTTAAGTCTCCCACAAATAAGAATGCACCTGTCACTTGGCGGTGGTTTTCATGCTACGTTGTGGTTTCGAGATCTAGTCGGGTGTGGCTCTAGGTCACTTACAAGGGTCGTAAGATCGTCCAGGTGACACTGCAGTGAATAGCCACTGGACTGTCATCTACATTAGACTAATTCATTCACTAAGTAGCAGGTTTTGTTTACTTTTTGCATGTTGAACGTTTGGTTTGCGGTCAGGGCTGAAGGGAGCAGTCCTGTAGACCAGGGTCTCTCCCTGCCCGCCGCCCCCCCCCACTCCTGGATGGTTCTCTGGGGTGGGGTGTCCTGGGCACTGCAGGTGCTGAGCAGCATCCCTGCCTCCACCCACTCCTTGCCAGGAGCACCCCCAGCGTGACAACCACAGATGTCCCAGACATGGCCCAGTGTCTCCTGGAGGGTTGCAGGGTCACCCCTGGTGAGACGCCGATAGAGGTGTTGCATCCTGCCCATGCGGGTGTGCTGGAGTTGGAACGGCGGGTCCAGCTGTACACGCTGCAGCATCCCACACTGCTGAGGCTTCCCATTTCCCTCTGCAAACCGGCTAGAACTGGTTTCCTCAGCATGGGTCAGGTGTCTGCTTTGCTGCAGGCCCCTCCAGTTACTCTGTCTCCGCGGACAGGCCAGCCTAGCTCCTCTCTGGGCCCTGTTCGTGGCAGGCCTTTACGAGGGCTTCAGGGACCTGCACCCTTTGCCTGTGCACTTGGCCTTGACTCCTGTTTTCTTCTCCACCCCAGGGGAGCTACCTCGCACACACCCAAGGAAAGAAGCACCAGACCAACTTGTGAGTACCTCGTGCTTGTGCCCCGACCCATGGTTGACGCTCACACCCCCGTGAGGCCTCCAGACCCGGCTCCCGGGTGCTGGCCCCAGAGTGAGGTCTCCGATGGGTGTTGGAGAGCAAGGAGGTGTGGCGGAACCCGTCATTGTTCCATCCCCAGAGTAGATGAGCTCCAAGGTCGGGGCGGGGGGGGGGGGGGGGAGACTGCCAGCACCAGGGCCTGTGGCCTTGGTGGTCTGCACGAGGAGGGGCCCCAGTGCCTCGTCCGTCCTACCCACAGGGCCCGGCGAGCAGCCAAGGAGGCGAAGGAGGCCCCTGCCCAGCCTGCGCCCGAGAAGGTCAAGGTGGAGGTGAAGAAGTTTGTGAAGATCGGCCGCCCGGGCTACAAAGGTAAGTCTGTCCAGGAGTGGCACCGGCTGGTGGCTGCTCTACAGCATGAATGGGCTCTTTGGGCTCAAGTGCAGGAGGTGGGACCTAACATCCTCATCCCTGAGCCTCAGAGCCACAGTCCTCTGGCTTTTGAGGCCATCCCTCACCCACGCACAGCCTCTCACCGCTGTCCAGGATGCTGGCTGAGCCTCCGTCCCACCTGCGGCCCTTCCCTGGCCGAGCCAAGGTCCGCACACTCCTCGCCCTGCTGGCCCATGCATGTGGAGCTCAGCCTCCCCTCTGCGCTCTTGTTAGGGTGTCCTGGAATCTCTTGGAGTTCTTTCCACTCCAAGTTAAGTAAAAGCAGTGGGAGGGCACTGGGACCCTGGTACATCCTCGGCACGTCAGGATAGGACAGGGAGAGGAGTGTGTCTGGGAGCAGCTCATGGAGCGGGACTGTCTAGGGTTGGCTGTCCCAGCAAGCTGGGCGGGTGGCCAAGCTGGAACAGGGATTGAGTTCTGCAAGTTGAGCAGGGAGGAGGGCCACCTGCCTAGCCAGTATACTTCACAGATGCTGGGGCGTGCTGTGCACCTACTGCTGCACACGGGACACCGCAGTGCTGAGGCCTGGTCAGGCCAATGAGGGCCAGCTGGAGCCCTGGGTTCTGGGTGGGCAGGCCATGACAAGGTTCTAGGTCTGTCCTCAGCACACTTGGGAGATGGAGGTATTATGGGAGCTGATGTGCCCTGGGGCCATGTGGGAAACTGGCTGTGATGTGCAGGGGTTTGGCTTGGCCTCACTCTGGTGGCAAAGTGGCCTCTCCCAGCCATGAAGTCCTCGGCTCCTGCCTGGTGGTGTCCCAGCATCCAGGGATAAGGGGCAAGGCCAGTGCCAGGGCCTCCAGGGACTGTGAGACTGAGCACCCTATTGGATGGCATTTCCTGCTAGGCTCTAGGGATGGGACCCACTTTCCAACCCCTGCCTGGGTTATCTTGGGCAGGTGACCTAGCCCTGGCACACCTGTGCGTCACCTGTAGCACAGTGCCGGGCCCAAGTGAGTCCATCCAGCCCCAGAACCTCCCTGATGTCCTGCCCTCCTGTTGAGTGGGCGGAGTTAGCTGCAGACCAGCCGCCCTTGACCCAAGTTCCTTGTGTGTTGCAGTGACCAAGCAGAGAGACTCGGAGATGGGCCAGCAGAGTCTCCTCTTCCAGGTGAGATGAGGACCCCAGGTGTCGGGCATGAGGGGAGGGGGTCCCATAGGTGTCCCCTGAACGGTGGTGCTGCCACTGTCTGTGTCCCCACAGATTGACTACCCCGAGATCGCTGAGGGCATCATGCCACGCCACCGCTTCATGTCCGCCTATGAGCAGAGAATCGAGCCCCCCGACCGGCGCTGGCAGTACCTGCTGATGGCCGCGGAGCCCTATGAGACCATTGCCTTCAAGGTAGCATGGCTACTGGGGTCCCCCAAGACCCCATGACACGTGGCATCAAGGAGGGTCTTCACAGTCTAGGTGGGGGTGTCTACCAGCCCACTCCAGGGTGCCCCTTCCTTTGGTTGGAGGTGTGTCCTCTGAGTGTACCCTTCTTCCCAGGGGAGGTACTTCTAGTGACTACCATTATGGCCACAAAGTGCAGACCCTGCCTGATGTTGGCTTAGCGCCCAGATCTGTATGGCCTTGGTCAGGTGATTTAACCCCCAGAGGCTGTTGTAACCTGTATTCCATGCCTGCACTGGGCAGCAATAATTAACATAACTGCAGCCTCCCCAGGGTGGTGGGATTGGCAAGCAGCTGAGCCAGAATCTGCCCCAAAGGGGCAGTCATCCCAAAGGTCACTGAACCTTGTCCCCCTACAAAAAGCCATATCAGGCTGGGCCGCCTCAAGGCTCTAGGAAGGGTCTACTTTCAGACCCCGGAAGCTGGCGCCTCGGGCTCCATTGAGCTCTCTGCCTGGATGGCAGCCCTGGGCCCCTGTCCTGAAGGCCAGGAACCAGGAGCCCTTTCTGTCACCCTGCCCCCAGGTGCCCAGCAGAGAGATTGACAAGGCCGAAGGCAAGTTTTGGACTCACTGGAACAGGGAAACCAAGCAGGTCAGTTATGCAGGCCCTGGGCAGTTCGGGCTTTCTTGCAGCACCCTGCCCAGCCGTGTCCTTGTGCCAGGGCCCTGCCAAACCTCTTTGTTTCTCTCTAGTTTTTCCTCCAGTTCCACTTTAAGATGGAGAAGCCCCCGGCTCCACCCAGCCTCCCCGCTGGGCCTCCCGGGGTGAAGCGGCCCCCACCCCCACTGATGAATGGGTTGCCCCCGAGACCACCGCTGCCTGAGTCCTTGCCGCCACCCCCACCAGGAGGCCTGCCTCTGCCACCTATGCCTCCCACGGGGCCTGCACCCTCAGGGCCCCCAGGACCTCCCCAGCTGCCCCCACCAGCCCCTGGGGTCCACCCCCCAGCACCAGTGGTCCACCCTCCCACCTCTGGGGTACACCCCCCGGCTCCTGGGGTACACCCCCCAGCACCAGTGGTACACCCTCCCACGTCTGGGGTCCACCCCCCAGCCCCTGGGGTCCACCCCCCGGCACCAGTGGTCCACCCACCAACATCTGGGGTCCACCCCCCAGCTCCCGGGGTCCACCCCCCAGCTCCTGGGGTCCACCCACCAGCCCCAGGGGTCCATCCTCCATCAGCTGGTGTTCACCCCCAGGCCCCTGGAGTGCATCCCCCAGCTACTGCAGTTCACCCCCAGGCCCCGGGGGTACACCCACCAGCCCCAGGGATCCACCCCCAGCCTCCTGGGGTCCACCCTTCAGCTCCTGGGGTACATCCTCCAACTCCTGGGGTCCACCCCTCCGCTCCAGGAGTCCACCCCCAGCCCCCTGGGGTCCACCCCTCAAATCCTGGAGTGCACCCCCCAACTCCCATGCCTCCCATGCTGAGGCCCCCACTCCCCTCCGAAGGCCCAGGGAACATACCACCTCCTCCCCCAACCAACTGAAGAGCTGCCCCCTGGCCCAGCACCCCTGGTGTTCTGTGTTCCTGTGTTTTCCCATGAGAAGTCCCGTTTTTGTACTGTCCTGAGCTCATTAAACAGCCTCCCCTGTGCGTGGCCGGACTGATGTATGCAGCGGCTGTGGGGCCCAGCGGGCTACTAGTAAACGCTGGGCATGCCGGGCAGGGGCCCCCCACCCACCATGCGCAGGGCAGCTCAGGGCCAGGACCAACTGGGGGGACCCTGCAGCCCCCCAGGAGACACTGTAGGTGGCCAGGGTGGCAGCTGGTCCCTGGAAGGCTGCCCTGTGGAGGACAGACCTGTCAGCCAGGAGTGGGTCTGGGGGCCCATCCTGGGGAGGGAAAGAACAGACTCCTTGCTGCCTGTTGGGGTCTTTAGGCAATCCCCCAGGGGTGGGGAGACCAAGCTGAGTTTGGGGCTATCATGCTCCTCTAGGCCCACCCACGGGCGGGAAGACAGGACATCTGGTCTCTGCTCTCCTGGCGCCACCCCTGTGCAAACCCGCCACTGTCTAGTCTGGCCGCCCCCGCTGCTCACTCCCCGCCTGGGTTCCCGCTCACTCCAGAGGGGAGAGCCCCTCAAGGACAGGGTTTGACACGTCCTGCAGGCTGAGAGGGGAGATAGGCTGCCGAGTGGCACAGAAAGGGCTCTTTGAGAAGGTTGCTCAGGCCTGGGCTCAAGAGCGCTGGGCATCATCCCCCAAGGTCACATGGAAGAGATAGGGCCTGCCCTCCCGCACAAACATCCCGCCCTCGCTGGGCCCATTTAAGCTCAGGCAGCGCAGCCCTGGCAGCACCCACAATGCAGGGCCCGCCTCTCCCTCGCCTGGTCCTGTTGCTGCCGGCCATGGGGGCTCTGCTGGTGGCCGAGACCCCGAGAACAAAGCAGCCAGCCGCCAGCACAGGGGGTCTCATCTTCCATGAAGACTGGGACTGGCTGCCAGGCAGCTGGCAGGACCCCTTGTGTCTGGTGACCCTGGGTGGGAGTGGAAACCACAGTAATGCCCCCCTAAGGGTGGCAGGGTCCCTAAGCAGCTATGAGCGGGCCTTCCTGGGGGCCGTGCAGCAGGCCCACTGGGGCCCCCGAGACCTGGCCACCTTCGGGGTCTGCAGCTCCAGCGACAAACAGGCTGCCCTGCCCCTTCTGCAGCGCTTGGGGGCCTGGCTGGGGGCACCAGGGGGGCAGCGGCTGCTTGTCCTTCACCTGGAGGAAGGTAGGTGGGGGCCCGGAGGGCAGCGCCACCTGCATCCTTTAAGGCAGCTGGGGTCCTCCCAAGGGAGACTGGGTGCTAGGGAGCCTCACCCACCGCAATCCATGGCCTGGGAGGTGGACACCGCTGTTTTCCTGTCTGGGGTCAAGTCCCCAATGCCCCTCTCTCAGACCCATCCCTCCCACAGTGCCCAGGGAAGGTGTCACTCACCCTACCTACAGAGAATCCAAGGGTATGTGGCCACCAGAACTCTGGGGTTCCCCCTCCCCACACCCCAGGCCACCTGCCTCCTTGAGATCTCCCACCCAGAGCCCCCAAGGCTGCAGCCCCACCCCAACACTGACATGGCCACTGCCCACCGGTCACTCCTCTCTGGCTGCAGGAGGCAGCAGAGGGGGCCCGCCAGTGTCCTTCCCTTTGGGGTCCAGAGTGGCAAGAATGGATGCCAAAGGCTCCCAGCTGGGGTGGAGGCTCTCCCTGCAGGACAGGTTGGGGAGGGTCCTGGGCCTCCATGGCTCAGGTGCTCCCTTGTCCTGGCTGCAGTGACCTGGGAGCCGACACCCTTGCTGAAGTTCCAGGAACCCCCATCTGGAGGAACCAGCCCCCCAGAGCTGGCACTGCTGGTGCTGTACCCAGGGCACGGCCCCGAGGTCACTGTCACTGGGGCTGGGCTGCTGGGCACCCAGGTACTAGGGAGGTGCACGCCTTGGGCCCTGGGATCCCTTACTTTGCAGAAGGGGGGTGGATTTGTTAAAAGGTGGGCGCTTCACAGGAGGGCTGAGTCAAGTCTGGGATTTGGAGCGGTGGTGGGAGAAAGGGATGGACAGCAGGGCTGGGCAAGTCGCTGCTGCCACCCCACCCAGCCGGGCCGGGCCCATCCCGCAGAGCCTTTGCCCATCCTGGGACACCCGCTACCTGGCGCTGGCCCTGGACCGCCCGGCGGGGGCCTGGAGCGGCTCCGGGCTCGCTCTGACGCTAAGGCCCCGCGAAGACGGTAGGTCCTCGGAGAGGGGCTGGATGTCGGGTCGGCTGCCCTGGGCCTCAGCGCCTGAGCTGGCCCCACGCCCTCCCACTGCAGGTGTACTCCTAAGTACAGCCCAGCTGCAGGCACTGCTGTTCGGCGACGACCCCCGCTGCTTCACGCGGATGACCCCCGCCCTGCTCCTGCTGCCCCGGTCCCAGCCCGCGCCCCTGCCCGCGCAGGGCCAGCTAGACACAGTGCCCTTCCCGCCGCCCAGGTGCGCGCAGGCGGGGAGTGGGGGCGGGGGCAGCGCTGCCTGGCGTCCGCTCTCAACAACCCCCCCGCTGCGTGTTTCAGGCCGTCCGGGGAGCCCGAGGAGCCGCCGCCCACCACCGACCCCTTCCTGGAGACGCTCACGCGCCTGGTGCGGGCGCTGCGGGGCTCTCAGGCCCCGGCCTCTGCGCGGCGCCTGGCCCTGGACCCGGGCGCGCTGGCCAGCTTCCCGCAGGGCCTGGTCAACCTGTCGGACCCTGCGGCACTGGAGCGCCTGCTCGACGGCGAGGAGCCGTTGCTGCTGCTGCTACCGCCCGCCGCGACCACCGCAGGGGACCCCGCGCCGCCGCAGGGCCCCGCGTCAGCGCCATGGGCCGAGAGCCTGGCGCGCCGCGTGGCTGCCGAGCTGCAAGCGGCGGCCTCCGAGCTGCGTGGCCTCCCTGGCCTGCCGCCGGCCGTGGCCCCGCTGTTGGCGCGCCTGCTCGCGCTGTGCCCGGGCGACCCCGGCGGCCCGGGCGGCCCGCTGCGCTCGCTGCTGCTCCTGAAGGCGCTGCAGGGGCTGCGCGCAGAGTGGCGCTGGCGGGACCTGCGCGGGCCCGGGCGGGCGCAGCGCAGCGCAGGGACCGCCACGGCCGACGGGCCGTGCGCACTGCGCGAGCTCAGCGTGGACCTCCGCGCCGAGCGCTCGGTGCTCATCCCCGAGACGTACCAGGCCAACAACTGCCAGGGCGCGTGCGGCTGGCCGCAGTCCGACCGCAACCCGCGCTACGGCAACCACGTGGTTCTACTGCTCAAGATGCAGGCGCGCGGGGCCGCCCTGGCGCGCCCGCCCTGCTGCGTGCCCACCGCCTACGCGGGCAAACTCCTCATCAGCCTGTCGGAGGAGCGCATCAGCGCGCACCACGTGCCCAACATGGTGGCCACCGAGTGTGGCTGCCGGTGAGCCCTGAGTGCGGCTGCCGGCCTTGCGGACCGCTGCCCCCGGAGGGGCCCGGCACGCCCCTTCCCATATTTATTCGGACCACAGGCATCGCCCCAATAAAGGCCAGGAAGCACCCGGCTGCGGTGTCCATGAGTGTTCCGGAGCCCGTGGGCCCCCTGCGCGCGCTCCCGCTGCCTCTTGCCCAGTTGAAAGCACCCCGACCCCCTCATTCAGGCCCTGCGTGTGGCTCCGGGTTCAGGCGCAAAGGAGCAGGCGACGGGCGACCGCGGCACTCGCTTTTATTTCGCTGGAGCCGTGGGACACCGCGGGACGTCGAGAAGGCGTCCCGGAACTCATGCGCAGGACCCAGGCCGGCTCAGTCCCGCCCCTTGCCTGCGCGGTGCTTGTGGCGACCCGGGGGCCGGTCCTGCTCCTGGGGGCGCCGCGGGGAGGCCCAGGCCTGCCTCTTTCTGTCCTCCGCCTCCCTGAAGTCCCGCGCCCACGGCCGACGGCCCCCTTCGCGAGCCTCCCAGCGCCGGGGCGCGGCTTCTCGGGGCTCCCTGGCTGCCCGCGGTCTCTCCTTCCTCGGCCTCTCCTCCTTCTGCGGCCTCTCCGCCTTCTCCTTTCTCTCCGCCCTTCTCGGCCTTTCCGCCCTTCTCGGCCTCTCCGCCTTCCTCAGCCTCTCCTTGGGCCCTGGGTCTGCGAGGGGTTCGCGGTCCTCCCCGGGTGCCTCCCTGGGTTCCCTTTCGTCCTTCTCTGCAGCCTCCCGACTCCCGGGAATCTTGGCCTTGTCCCCTGGCTTCTCCTGGGGCTCAGGCGGCCCGGGTGGGGGTGCAGGCGGCCCGGGTGGGGGTGCCCAGGCCGTGGGCTTAGGCTGCAATGCAGACAGCGCCATCCTGGGGTCAGTGCCCACCTCTCCCACCCCAGGCCTGGCTCCCTTTCCCCCATGGTCCCACTGCCCCCTGTCACTGGGAGGAAGCGCTTACCGGGGGTGACTCTGGCTCTTTTGGGGCTGAGCTTGGAGGGACCCACAGCTCCCGGGCAGGTGCGGGGGTGGCCACCTCTCCAACCACAGCGTCTAGGGGGGTAGGGTCCGGATGAGTAACCCAGGGCACGGGACCGACCACACTGTCCATCCCTCCCTCGCCCCTAGAGCCCGCCTCCCCAGGACAGATGGAGACAGCGGCACGCGCTACCGGGTGCGCTGACGCTGGCTGGTCCCGATCCCTCTGAGAGAGCCGCTTCCCTCGGAACCTTCCTTTTTCCCGTCACGAAAGTACTGGTCATTCTTTCTCCGAGGGCTGTAGGAGCGTCCCAACAAGGGAGGGACGCAGGCCTGCCCCTGGGGACGCTCACTGGCTGTCCTTAGCGCACAAAGGCCGCGGAACAATGTGGAAAGCGTTGCACGAGGTCCCTGGGGAGGCGACAGCCGGCTCACGTGGGACAGGGGTGCACAGGGTGCACCCTGGAAGGGGAAGAGCCCCTGCAAGGTCCACAGTGGGGGGCCCAGACCTGACCGTGGGGCGCACCAGGTCCAACCCTGCGGAGGGAGTGCACAAGGTGGGGACTCGGGGAGGGAGGTCCCGCACAGGGCCCAGCATTCGGTGAGAGGGCGCCCAAGGTCGGTCGCTTAAGGGGTGATGTGCAAAGCTCTATGGCAGGACGCAGGCCTGGCTACTGAGGCGCACAAGACTGCCTGGAGAGGAGGCTCCCAGCCCCTGCCCTTGTGGCCCTTCCCTGGAGAGGTGGGCGGGCCTTCAGGACGACCCCAACCCCGCCCCGCTTCTGGGGAACCCGGCTCACCGCGGCACCGCTGGAAAGCCGAGCCCAGCAGCGCCACCAGCAAGGCGAGCACCAGGCACTTGTTGAGCGTCACGTCTCCCCAGGGCAGCTCCTCGCTCAGGGCTGGGGGTGGCGGCGGCGGCTGCGGGGGCGGCGCGGCCTGCGCCTTCTTGCGCGCAGGGGCGCTTCGAGGGGCTGCGGGGGCAAGAGTGGGCTGCGCTCTGGCCAGCGGTCCGAGCAATCTGAGCCACCGCAGGCGCAGGGAGCAAGGGGTGCCCTGTGTCCTGAGCCCAGCCCGCCCCGCCTGGCTGTGCTGTCTGGGGCAGCTTCCCAGGGACGCCCAGACGCTCCTGGAAGACAATTTGCTGGAGCTTAGAGGACACCTTAGCTGCTGTCTTCACACATTAGTGGCGGCTCCCAGCCCATTTCGTCGCTGCCTGCCACTCCTGGACGCATGCCCTCCTCCCACCTCCAGATCCAAGGACCCAGCCCCAGGGACCTGCCCCATGTTGTCCCATGGCCACCCCCACCTCACCCAGGCCCCCTGCAAACCCACTTGCTCCAGGTTTCAGCCTTTCCTTCCCAGATCCTGGGGCCCCCCTGGCCGCAGGCTCCTTTTCTATCTTCTTGGGCCTGGTATCTGCACCGCCGCTGCCTTCAGCCATGGGTTCCTGAGTGCCCTGAGGAAATCACGAGATGTTCTGGGTGTTTCCTTCCAGCCCCAGACCCTTCCCATTGGCTTTAGAAACCCACCCCCCTTGACCTGCGAGTCTCTGGCTCAGGCTGAAACCTGGAGGGCCCAGCTACTCACGTGGGGCCAGCTGCTCGGGTCGGCCAGCCTGGGCGTCACTGTTGGTGTAAGCAGGGAGAGGCAAGGTGGCAGGGACCCCCAGGCCAATCCTGCCCTCCCTCCACCCCCGGCCCTGCTGGGTGGATGTGGGTGACTGTTCCATGTCACAGACGGGCTCAGAGACAGCCTTGCCCAGAGGTGAATACGGCTTCAGTGGCAAGGAGGGGTTCAAGCCTGGGCTTGTGTGGACCAGATTTGCGTTCCTTGGGGACACTTTACAGACCCCGGGGCAGAAATAGGGGCCTGGGGTTGGATGTGGGGAGGGAGCACAGTTCAAGCCAGTCCGATGTGGAGACTGCACCACTGGGGATGGGTGTCGTCCAGCCAGCGCCCGGGGGGTACCTGGAGCCTTGTCGTCCTGTGGCTCAGCCAGTGCGGAGAGGTCCTCGCCAGCCTGGCAGCTGCCCAGGCCTCCATCCAGCTCCTCCCAGCCTCTGGTCGCCATGGAGATGGCCAGAGCCCGGCCGCAGGCCCAGGGCGCCTGGGTAAGGTGGGAAAAGGGGTCTCGCATGTCCCTGAGCCCCTGCCACGGCCTGGGCCTGACCCACGGGTTCTGCAGACATGAGCTCGCTGGCTCCACCGCTCCCATGTCCCGGCCTTTGTTCTCGGACTGGGCACCCTTCACTTGGCAAATTCACCCTCATGCCGGGCATGGCCCCCGACGCCTGCCTTGGGACCCCGCCCTAGAGCCCAGCCATGAGCACATTAGCAAAGGCTGCTGGGGCCCAGAGAAGGCTGGAGCCCACCCAAGGTCACACAGCAATGAGTCAAACCAGAACCCCTAGCCTCAGGGTCGGCTCATGTTCTCTGAGACCAGGGACTATTTTTATCTGGTGCCCGAGGCCAGCGGGATAGGCCAATGGGTGGCACAGCCCCTCCCAGGCCTTTGCTCCCATGGGGTCTCCCTCCGTGCCATCCCGACTTGCTATTCCTGGCACCCAGACCCCTGCCTGACCCTGTGAGTCTAGAGGCACACGGAGCCCCCGCAGCCAGGTCCAGCCTGGCTCTGTTCCCGTGTGCCAGATAAGGAAACTGAGGCTGGAGACTAGGCGTTGGCTGAAGGCTGCATGAGCTTTGAAGTCAGACCCTGTTTTTTGGGGTCCCTGTGGCCTCTAGCTGCCAGCAGTAAAGTGTCCCCATCCCTGGGGCTCCAAGGCTGGGAAGTGGAGTGGGGGAGGGGGCCCACGGACAGGGGAACGTGGTGTGTGGCCCCTTGGTGTGCGTGTTTGTGTATGGGGGGCAGCCACAGGAGTCGAGGACCCCATGGACCTTGACGACACCCTCCCAGACCCAGGGGATCCCCAGCAGTTCCCAGGCCACCCCCAGCCCCGCTTACCCCTCAGCCGCTGCGCTGAGCCTTGTGGCCGGGATGGAGTATGGGGAGGGTGGCCCCTAGACAGACAGCAACAGGTGGCCGGACACAGTCGCATGGGCCAATCAGCATGGCCTTGGAGCAGGGGGGGTGGGGCTGGCACGAGGGAGGTCATGGCCAGGGAGTCCCCCACCCACCTGCTATTGGAGCAGGGCAGGGCATTAGCCTGGAGGGCTATTTCAGCCCAGAGCCACTGTCAGGCCAGGAAGACTTGCTCGCTCTCTCCCCGTGGGGGGCTTGGCAGTCACCCACAGGGACGGAGGGGACCCTAACTGGTGGCTGGCAGAGCCCAGGGGCAGCAGGGAGGGCTCCCTGGAGGAGGTGGCGTCTCTATCAGTTTGTCCCACACAACCTGCCGAAAAAGAGCTGCCTGGAATCTGGGCCCAGAGACCTGTTTCCTCATCTAGAAAGTGGGGCCACTCCCTTCCAGGGTGGTGACGGGGTGGAAGTGAGTTAATCCTCCATATATGACCACCCGATAGCCCCGGGCTGCCTCTGCGCATGGTTTTTCATCGTTCCACCTGCTCACACGCCTATACCTTGGTTGGATCATCACCAAACACAGTTTGGGGACCAACACCCAGAGGTGAGGCCCCCTCTCCTCACACCCTGTCGGGACACCGAGTACCCAGGTGACATCACCTGGTGCAGATGGGGTCCCAGGTTCTCCTCGGCCGATCACAGTCTCCCCTCGCACCCCGTTCTTCTCTCAGCCCACCCTCGGGGACGGCAGGAGTGTTTCATCTCCGCCTCCCGGAGAGTGGGTGTCCACACCTCGGACGTGGGGTTCTTCTGGGAGGGAGACGCCCCCGTGCCTTTTAGGCGATCGCTTTGAGTGAGGAAGCCTAAGGGACTGGAGGGCAGAGGCAGCCGCAGAAGCCACATCATTCCTGGGGAGTCAAGAGAGAGTGGCTGGAACCTCATGTCCCCCAGTGTCGCGGGCTCCCCAGTCCGTGCCCTGCTCGGCTGAGCAACGTCTCCCCCTGCCACCTGGCGGCGCCGCGGCTCACCCACGCCCTTTACGCCGGGTTGACCTGGCGGGGCCCTCCTTCCACAGCCTGCTCCCCTGTTATGGGTGGAATCCTGTCTCCAAAACACACGTGCAGTCCCAACCCCTGGGCCCCCAGAAAGTGATCGCATTTGGGAATGGGGTCTTCGTAGATGGGGCTGGTAGAGATGAGGTCGGACTAGAGTGGGGTGGGCGGCACTGCAGCCGGTGGTGTCCCCATGAGAAGAGACACGGCGTCACTTAGAGACACAGCGGAAACCACGTGGACACGGAGGCAGAGGCTGGAGCGATGTGGCCACAACCCAGGGGACGCCTGCAGCCCCCAGAAGTTGGGAGAGACGGAGGACCCTCCCCTGCAGCCTCGGGAGGGAGCTCAGATGTGCAGACAGGTCATTTTGGACTTCTGGCCTCCAGGACAGCCACAGGATAAACTCCTGTTGTCTAAAGCCCCCCACCGTGTGGCCGCACACCCTGGATCTTCATTCTGCCCGCATGGCCGTGCAGAGAAACCCAGCGCCCCTTTTCTGGGGGGCCCCAGGCTTCCTCTCAACCCCCAAGGGTGCATTCCCAGGCTGGCCCCAGATGTTTGTGCACAGCTGGAAACCGTGGGCTGCTTTGGGAGCCCCGAGGGGAACAGGAAAGTGGATCTTGGCGGTGAGTCACCACCATTACAAATCTTGAGCAAACACAGCCACCAAGAAACCCGACAAACCAGCCCACCCGAATAGCACAGGCACAGCGTCCCTGTCCCCTCTTGCACCCGGTGCAAAAACAACTCTGGTTCCTTCCTTTCCACACGCGCCAAACATGCACATTTAGAAAATGCAGGCCGGGCGCGGTGGCTCTCGCCTGTAATCCTAGCACTCTGGGAGGCCAAGGCGGGCGGATTGCTTGAGGTCAGGAGTTCTAAACCAGCCTGAGCAAGAGCAAGACCATGTCTCTACTAAAAATAGAAAGAAATAATGACGGTCCAACCTAAAAATATATATAATATACAAAAAAAATTAGCCAGGCATCCTGGTGCATGCCTGTAGTCCCAGCTACTCAGGAGGCTGAGGCAGGAGGATCGCTTGAGCCCAGGAGTTGGAGGTTGCTGTGAGCTAGGCTGACGCCACGGCGCTCACTCTAGCCTGGGCAACACAGCGAGACTCTGTGTCAAAAAAAAAAAACAAAAAAAAAACCAAAAAAAAAGAAAGAAAGAAAATGCAGACAAACTGCAAAAAAACCTTTTTTTTTTTTTAAGAGAAAATAACTCTGCATCTTTTATTTTAGACTCAGAAAACTCAGTCCAGGTCTCTGATTAGAAGTTCAACAGAAAACACACACACACACACTCCCTCTTTCCCACGTGGTGCTGTGCCAGGAACTTGGGGTTTCTCTCTTCTTCCCAAGTTTCCCAGCATTCTGTGTTAGGAAAGGAGGGCCCAGGCCCCAGCAGGTACAAACAGTACACCTAGAGGCAGCAGTAGCAGTCAGTATTTCCGCTGCCGGGGAAAGAGACTACTCCCGGAGGACCGGAGTTGGGGGCTGGTGGAGTTGGGGTCCTCTGAGTCTAGGCTGAAGAGGTCCCCCCAGTACGAAGGATCTGTTCCTCCAGCTTCTTATGTCGCTTCATGTCTGAAAGGACCTTGTCCAGACGGGCCTCTCGTTTCTGGCTCCGGGCTGAGCTTCCTGGGGTACGTCTCCGGTCAATCAGGGAGTCCTTTGGTGCCATTGGCTCGTCATCAAAGTCAAATTCTGTGGGCATGTGTGGTCTGGGACAGGTGGACATAAAGAGAAGGGTGAAGGTGACCCTCTCAAACACCCCCATAGGTGCTTCTCCCCAGCCTGCCACCTCTTCGTCTCCTGGTCCCCTTCCCTCCCTTCCCTCTCCTTGCTACTGGGTCCCACCTCTTTGCCTCCCCATTTCCTCCAAAAAAACATTTTTAACACCTGTCATCTTACCAAGCAGAAACAGCCACTGTGAAATAGTTTGGTGGTTTTTTTCTTCCCTCTGGCATTTGTTTTCGTAACTGTTAATTTTATTATTAGTTACATATTTATTTTTATAAAACTGAGCAATCATCCTTCCTGAAGGTCTGAACATCTTTGTTTGGTAACGTAGATTTTTTTCCCTGTCTTTAAAGTGTATTATGGCTTGGCAATTCCTCAAGAAGCTAAACACAGACGGACCATAGGAGGTAGAAATTCCACTCCTGGGTACCTCCTGGAAGGGATTGAAGGCAGAGAATCAGACAGGCACTTGCACTCCACGTCACGGCAGCCAAAGAGTGACAAAAACCCAAGTGTCCACCAGCACACGAGTGGACACACACACGTGGCCCATCCACACGTGGACTATCACTCGGCCACGGAAAGGGACGAGGCTCTGACACAGGCCACAGCGTGGAGGGACCCTGAGGACATCGTGCTCAGTGAGAGATGCCAGACACAGAAGGACACACGGTGTGAGACTCCATTTATATGAAATGTCCAGAACAGGCAGATCCACAGAGATGGGACGTGGATTCGTGGTCGCCAGGGGCTGGCGAGCGAGTGGGGGTGACTGCCAATGGGGACGGCTTCCTTTTATGGTGCTATTTAACTTTTCAAAGAGCTACCAGACTGTTTTCCAAAGTGGCCGCACCACTTTACCCTCCCACCCGCAGCATAGGTGGGTTCCACTTTCTCCGCATCAGACACTTGTCATTTTCCAGTTTGTGTGTTTGTGTGATGGCCAGCCTAATGGCTGTGAAGCGGTGAGACCTCACTGTGGCTTTGATTTGCATTTCTCTGGCTGATCCCAGGACTGCAGTTTCTCCCTGGGCCGCCCGTCCCAGGAGGCTCAGCTCTCCCAGAGGCAAAGTCCGGACACGAACCTGGGGCTTCCGTGAGACTTCTCTGCAGGCTTTGTTTTTGTTGTTGTTTTTTGAGACAGAGTCTCACTTTTGTTGCCTGGGCTAGAGTGCCGTGACATCAGCTTAGCTCACAGCACCCTCAAACTCCTGGGCTCAAGCGATCCTCCTGCCTCAGCCTCCCGAGTAGCTGGGACTACAGGCATGCGCCACCATGCCTGGCTAATTTATATATATATATGTTTAGTTGGCCAATTAATTTCTTTCTATTTATAGTAGAGACGGGGTCTCGCTCTTGCTCAGGCTGGTTTTGAACTCCTGACCTCGAGCAATCCACCCCCCTCGGCCTCCCAGAGAGCTAGGATTACAGGTGTGAGCCACCGCGCCCGGCCTCTGCAGGCTTTGTTTTGAAAGAGTGAGAGAGATTCGAGGCAGGCCCTGCTGCAGCGAGTTGTCTCTGGGGCCTGGAAAAGTCCCAAACCTTATTAATAGAAGGTCCCTGGTGTGGGTCATTTGGTGATGTTGACATTCAGCTAATGAGAGAAGAAACTAAAATATGCAAACTCATTTCTCCCGGAGCAGAAGCGAAATAGCAAAACAGAGGCCACGTGTGATATCACCCACCCAAGCTCCTTCCTCCTGCCTCCCTCCTGGGCCCAAAACAGGCATCACCGGGCACACTCTGCCTGGCGTGAGGGACACTACTGTGCCCACCCCTAACCTCACCAGGCCCCCATCTGCGGGGCTGAGACGGCGGGTACCGAGGGAGCTGAGGTTTTCCCTCTGCCCCCACCGATCCTCTCACAAGATCTGTTGTCAGAGATGGTTCTCGAGTTTTCCCTGATGTCAATTTCCCTGATGTCACTTGGGCCTCCAGTCCGGTTCTGCTAATTGTGGTGGTGGCAGCTGAGAGCGTCAGCTCACTGCCCAGATTCGAGCCCTTGCTGGTCTGCCGCCTCCTGGCTGTGCCTCAGTTTCCTTTCCTGTGAAATGGAAATGTAACGGAGTCCCCAGCTCGTGGGCTTATTGTGAGAATTATGCCAAGTGGTTGGGCGGATGCCTGGATCCGGGGAATGGCTGTCATTGTCATCTCTGTCATGGGTGCCCGACAGGGCCCTTCCAGCCCCTGCAAGACAAAACACCCCCACAGAAAATCTCCAGGCGCCCTTGGGACTCGCCATTGAGGTGTCTGAGAACTTTAGGGGCTGCCGGGCGGGGGGTGTGGGTGGCCACCTGTCCTGTCCACGCAAGGGCAGTGCCCCAAACTCATTTGGGTGTCTACCCTCCTGGTCCTCAGGGAGAAGTGGCCCCGTTCCTGGGGTGACTCCCAGGCTTTTAATAGGAGAAGTGAGACCTTCTATGGCTGTCCTCTCTCTGCTATGGTGACATTCAAGATGGCAGGGGTGGTGGGCAATGTCCCCATTGGCCAACAAAGCCACAGAAGGAGAGCAAGAAATAATCCTTCCCTGGTTTGCTGGGGTGTTTTAATTTTAATGTTTTTTAAAGATACATAACAAAATTTACAATCTTAATTTTTCAGTCTATAGTTCAGTATTGTTAAGCACATTCACATGGTTGTGCAGCCATCACCACCCTCCGCTTCCAGAACTTTCTCATCTTCCCAAACTGACGCTCTGTCCTCATGAAACACTCACTCCCCACCCCCTCCCCGGCCCCCGGCACCCACCACCCTGCTTCCTGTCTGTGGATCTGAGGACTCCAGGGACCTCCTGGGAGTGGAGTCACACGGGACTTGTGTCTGGCATCTCTCACTGAGCACGATGTCCTCAAGGTCCCTCCACGCTGTGGCCTGTGTCACAGCCCCGTCCCCTTTTAAGGCAACACATGTGTTTTTTTTGTTTGTATTTTTTTGAGGCAGGATCTCACTCTGTCACCCTGGGTAGAGTGACGTGACATAATCATAGCTCACTGCAGCCTCCAACTTCTGGGCTGGAGTGACCCTCTTGCCTCAGCCTCCTGAGTTTGAGGCTGCAGTGAGCCACAGTGACACCACTGCACTCCAGCCTGTGTGACAGAGACCCCTATCTCAAAAAAAAAAAAAAAAAAAAGGCCAGGCACAGTGGCTCACGCCAGGTCAGGAGTTCGAAACCAGCCTGAGCAAGAGTGAGACCCCGTCTCTACTAAAAATACAAATAAATTAATTGACTAACTAAAAATATATACAAAAAATTAGCCGGGCATAGTGGCACATGCCTGTAGTCCCAGCTACTCGGGAGGCTGAGGCAGGAGGATCGCTTGAGCCCAGGAGTTGGAGGTTGCTGTGAGCTAGGCTGACGCCATGGCACTCTAGCCCGGAATGCCAGAGTGAGACTTTTTGACAGAGTGAGACTCTGTCAAACACACACACACACAAAACACCACACAAAAGACAAAAACAAAATTCTTCATGTAAACAGAGGCCTGGGAAAGTGAACAGGAAACGTTAAGAGCTGCCCAATTTTGTTCAGGCTTTCAGCCTGGGAATCATCTGTGTTCTAGAATGAGAACTTAAAAAAAAATAGGCCAGGTGTGGTGGCACACATCTGTAATCCTAGCACTCTGGGAGGCCGAGGCAGGAGGATTGCTTGAGGTCAGGAGTTCGAAACCAGCCTGAGCGAGACCCCGTCTCTACTAAAAATAGAAATAAATTAATTGGCCAACTAAAAATATATAGAGAAAAATTAGCCGGGCATGGTGGTGCGTGCCTGTAAGCTCCAGCTACTCGGGAGGCTGAGGCAGGAGGATTGCTTGAGCCCAGGAGTTTGAGGTTGCTGTGAGCTAGGCTGATGCCACGGCACTCACTCTAACCTGGGAAACAAAGCAAGACTCTGTCTCAAAAAAAAAACAAAAACAGAACAAGACCTTTGTAAAACACTGGAAATATTGCAAAATAAAATAATGAAGGGGTGGAGGATAAGAAATGACTAACGGGGACAATGTATTTTACTGGGGCAACGGATACCCTAAAAACCTAGCCTAGACCACTATGCATGTAACAAAATTGCACCCGCACCCCATACATTTATTTATTTATTTAATTTTTTTATTGAGATAGAGTCTCTGTTGCCCAGGCTAGAGTGCCGTGGCGTCAGGCTAGCCCACAGCAACCTCAAACTCCTGAGCTCAAGCGATCCTCCTGCCTCAGCCTCCTGAGTAGCTGGGACTACAAGCATGTGCCACCATGCCTGGCTAATTTTTTTCCTGTATATTTTTACTTGTCCAGTTAATTTCTTTGTATTTTTAGTAGAGACGGGGGTCTCGGTCTTGCTCAGGCTGGTTTCAAACTCCTGACCTTGAGCAATACTCCTGTCTCGGCCTCCCAGAGAGCTAGGATTACAGGCGTGAGCCACCGCGCTCAGCCCCCATACATTTCTATACACCTCTAAAAAATAAAATAACAGGCAAACGTAAAAACAATGATGACAGTGTAGTGGGAGCATCAACCTAATAAACATAAGCAATGTGAAGCGAGAAACAGCCATCTGCCCGAGATAAGCCCGTCATCTGGGCCCAGGCTTCCGACGGGGGCTGCCGGGCGCGGTTTGCACAGCAGTCACAAGGCTGCAAGCACGATTCTGGGCCCCGGGTCTTATCACCCAGCAGCAGATGCCCCTGTGGATTTGTGGCCAAATTGCAGCCGTTCACAGCCTCCATGGAGCCTGATTTCATCGCTGGAGGCGTGATGCGTATTAGAAATGGTCGATTCTTGGTTACTTCCTTTTTTTCCACACTGTTTGCTCAGAAGAGCCCAGAGACCTTCTGACTTCTTGTTTTAACAACTCAGGAGGCAGAGGCAGGCTTGAAGACGATGCCAAGCAGAGGCTTAATCCTTCTTTCTTCTTTGCTAATTTTTTAAAAAAATATTTTTGTAGAGATGGGGTCTTGCTATATTGCCCTGGCTGGTCTCGAGCTTCTGGCCTCAAGCTATCCTCCCGCCTCGGCCTCCCAAAGTGCTGGGATTACAGGAGTGAGCCACTGAGCCCAGCCATAGGTCCTTCGTTCTTGACACACCCCCGCCAATCTGCTGTCCCTCCCAGGCTGTTCAACTGTCACTACCTCCAAGAAGCCCTCCCTGATACGCTTCCATGCTGAGCTCCAGTGAGGCCTGGTGAGGTGGCCACAGAGTCAGACGCAGAGGGGAGGTGAACTGCCGCGGTAGGAGCAGACAACACTCCCCTGGACTTGGCTATGTCTGGAGACATCTGTGGTTGCCACAACTGGGGGGGAGCTCCTGGCATGGAGTGGGGGGGGGGCAGGGACACTTCTCAGCACTTGCAATGCCCAGGACGGCCCCACCCCAGAGAGTGACCCAGGCCTGAATGTCAACAGTGGGAGTGAATTTCTGTGTCAACACCTCATAGTGAAGGCTCGGTTCCTGCGACAGCTAGCCTTTTGGCGTCCTATGAAATCTCCAAAGAGTGCCGGGTCTGGCGCCAGGGATTGTAGTCCGTGGGGGTGGCAGGAAAGTGCCCCCACATCCCTGCCCAGAGCTGAGATCCCTCAGACGGCACGAGACCCCCCCCCCAGCGACTTCCCTTGAAACCCTCCCAGCCTCCCACCTGACTTTTCTGCCAGCCCAGCTTTCTTGCAAGCTGCTCCTGCTCCAGTTTGTTTTTACCAAGAAGCTCCTTTTATTTTTTTCTTTCCACCCACGATGCTTCCAAATTAAAGCCTGTTCTGCCCAGTGGCCCCGAAAGACCTACCGACAAGGAAGGAGCCCTGCCCGCCCCAAGTCTGGGCTCCAGGCCTCTGCTGGTTCCATGTGGCCCACGTAGGCCTGGGTGTGGCCCAGATGCTCCCCCCTGGAGACGGCCCAGCAGGCCGGGAGCTCTTGGACACCCCACTAGACCAGGCTTTGCACCGGCTCAGGGCCAGACAAGACAGCCTGGCACTCACCACGCTGGGGGGCAGTGGCAACTTCCCCCACTTCCTGGCTTGAGTTCTGGGGGTAAACACAGAGTGACCCGGTGACCAGGGGCCAGCCATTGACGGGTCCACATTCTGGACTCTTGGCCCAGAGTCGCCTGTGCAAGCCCCAGGGAGCTACCAAGAGGTCAAAAATCAGATTTTGAAACCTGGAGGCTCTCCTAGCCTCAAGAAACAGCCTAAATAATAACAAGGCGTGAATCCTCCTGCCAAGGAGGACACTGGATCCTCCTTGCAGGGGCTGGCGGGAGCGGCCCCTCGCAGTAAAAGCCTGCACCCTCTGCAGAAAATTTAAAACAACTATAAAGTTTGCCAAACACCCCATTTGCTGTTTATTAAGAGCAAGATACACCTTCCCTGGCAAAGTTCTCTGGTTTGCCTAACACCTGTACTCAATACAGTTTGTGTTAATTCTTTTTTTTTTTTTTTTTGAGACATAGTCTCAGTCTGTTGCCCCAGCTAGAGTGCTGTGGCGTCAGCCTAGCTCACAGCAACCTCAAACTCCCAGGCTCAAGCAATCCTGCTGCCTCCCGAGAAACTGGGACTACAGGCATGCGCCACCATGCCCGGCTAATGTTTCTTTTTCTTTTTTTGAGACAGAGTCTCGCTTTGTTGTCCAGGCTAGAGTGAGTGCCATGGCGTCAGCCTAGCTCACAGCAACCTCAAACTCCTGGGCTCAAGCAATCCTTCTGCCTCAGCCGCCCGAGTAGTTGGGACTACAGGCATGCGCCACTATGCCCGGCTAATTTTTTTATTTTATATATATTAGTTGGCCAATTAATTTATTTCTATTTATAGTAGAGACGGAGTCTAGCTCTTGCTCAGGCTGGTTTTAAACTCCTGAGCTCGAGCAATCCGCCCGCCTCGGCCTCCCAGAGAGCTAGGATTACAGGCGTGAGCCACCGGGCCCGGCCTAAAAAATAAATCTTTTAACAAATATTGCAGTCCACATGGATGGGAATTTGGAGACACGTGAGACACAGCCTCGCCCATGGCAGAATAAGTCTCTGTGGGTTTGTAATAACTCCTGATCATAGAAGGTCCCTTTGGGGAAAGTTTGTGCCTGTAACTCATGCCAACACAGTAGATTCAAAATCAAACCAGAGCTGGAGATGCTACAGACAAGGAAACAAGCAAGTTGACGGGTCCAAATTTTAGTTCACACACGAAATAGTTTACCCAACCCGACATCACTGCAAGAGGAATAATATTTTTGCTTGGTAGATCCAAATTTTAGTTTATATGTGAAATGTGTTTCTGAATTTTAACTCCCAGGAGTAATACTTTTTCACTGGTGGGCAAATTTTAGTTCTCACAGGAAAAATCTTTCTGGCTGTATCTGCGAGGAGCAAATTTTTTGTCTAAGTCTAAATTTAACACGTAATATTTTATCATGTTAAATTTGAATAATATCTTTAACATTGAAAGTTCTTTTTTTTGTAAATGTAAGCTGTTTTAAAACTTAAAAGAATTAAAACAGGCCGGGCGTGGTGGCTCACGCCTGTAATCCTAGCACTCTGGAAGAGGTGGGCAGATTGCTCGAGGTCAGGAGTTCGAAACCAGCCTGAGCAAAAGCGAGACCCCAACTCTACTAAAAAAATAGAAAGAAATTAATTGGCCAACTTATATAGAAAAAAAAAAACTTAGCCGGGCATGGTGGCGCATGCCTGTAGTCCCAGCTACTCAGGAGGCTGAGGCAGGAGGATCGCTTGTGCCCAGGAGTTTGAGGTTACTGTGAGCTAGGCTGACACCACAGCACTCACTCTAGCCTGGGCAACAAAGCGAGATTCTGTCTCAAAAAAAAGAGAAAGAATTAAAACAACTATAATTAGTACCTATTATTACAAGGTTATTACAAAAAATAATTTTCTCCTATGGGGGGGATGGGCGCGGTGGGACACCCCCTCCCCCAATACCTGAGGGCCTTTGTAGCCTCAAGCCACCCGGTGAGGTGGTCCCGCGGGGTTCAGGTACCCTAGTGAGGGCGACAGGGACGATGACGGAGACTAGGACACGGCAAGACCCCTAGAAAATGGGCCCCCAGCGCGACGCCCCCGCCCCAAAGCCCGGCTGTGGGGGCGGGGCGGCGTGGGGCGCGCGCGGCGCGTACCCGGCGCCACAGTAGCCCCGCCCCCTGCGCGCCCGCAGAGTGACGTCCGCGGAAGGGGCAAGGTTTGAGGTGTACTGACCAATTACCTGCGCGTTCCCGCCCCCAGATTCCTTATTCACCAATCAGAAGCCTGTAGGGGCGGGAGCGCTTCGGTTTCCCGGCGGCCCTGTGGCTCCGCCCTCTTGTGCGGCCGCGTTCCCGGCGGCTTGGAGGGCGTGGCCAGAACGCAGCGTCTATAAAAGCCGGCGGCGGCGGCGGCGCCATTTTGCGAACGGCGAGCAGCGGCGGCGGCGCGGAGAGGCGCAGCGGAGGTTTTCCTGGTTTCGGACCCCAGCGGCCGGATGGTGAAATCCTCCCTGCAGCGGATCCTCAACAGCCACTGCTTCGCCAGAGAGAAGGAAGGGGATAAACCCAGCGCCACCGTCCACGCCAGCCTGACCATGCCGCTCCTCAGCCTGCATAGCCGCGGCGGCCACAGCAGCGAGAAGTGAGCGCCCCGCCCCCGCCCGAAGCTTCCAGAAACGCCGGCCGCGCAGGCCCACGGGGGGCCGGCCTTGGGGCGCCAGAAAGTCCTAGGAGGACGAGATCCGCCCGTTTCTCTAGGCCACAGTTACGCCGGTGGGGGGGCAGGTCCCGTGGTCCCCCAGGGCTTAGCAGCAAACTCGGGGTGTCAGGTTTGGGAGGGCACAGAAAGGGAGGCTGATTTTGGAGAGACGTGCGTGGCTGGGGTCGCGGGCTGGGGGATTGGATTGGGAGAGGGGCGTAGGGTCGGTGGTCAGGTGGATTTCGGGCAGGGTCAGGGGGTCCAGTCGGATTTGGGGGACGCAGGACGCGGAAAGCAGGTGGGGGCGGGGTCGCTGTCGGGCAGCTGGCCCAAGGCCGAGCTGGGCCCGCAGGTCCCATGAATCTGCACTTTTATGTCGCCGCCAACGAGCGTTGGCTGCAGGAGCCGCGAGCTCCTCCGGGTGGACCAACTAGAACGAGGCATCCCGGCTCCGCGACGCGGCCTCCGGACGCGACCGGCCTTGTGGGCTCGGTGTGTAGCGAGCCGCTGTGGTTGCCCATGCCCCCCAGGACGTGCGGCGTGGCCGCCCACGTAGGCGGCGCCCGCTGCTTTTCTCCGCGTGACCGCCGGCCGGACAGCGCCCCGGAGCGCGCGTGTCGACCCCTCCCGGGGGCGCGGGGCTGATGTGCTGGTGGTGGTGGTGCTGCTCGCAGCGTCGGGGCCGCGTCTCCCCGAGGGCCGTCTCGGCACGAGGTGGGCGTCGGTGGGGTCCGGGGACCGGAGCTGGGGCCGCGGCTAGGGGTGTCCCTGGTGGCAGCAAAATGGAGGCGACTCTGGGGCCTGTTTACGCCAAGCAGCAAATGGCTGCTGGCGCTGTAGGCTGCGCGATTGTGAAAATCTCCCCCGGGGCGCGGGGCGCGTCTGCAGAGGTGACGCAACTGGGAAGCCCCGGCCGGGTGCAGGGGGGGGGGAGCCGGGCCGGAGCGAGCGCTGCGCCCGGCCAGGTTAGGAGCTGACGGCCTGGTGTCTCGACGTCGCTGAGTCTGGGCCGGCGGCTTTTCTCGAAAGGCAGGTGGCTGGTGGCTGCACTGCACCAGGCTTGGGCGATGTGCAAAAGGGGAAGCTTTTGCAGGCGTTAGAAAGAGGAAGTGAAACTGGAGGGACTGGTTTGTGAGATTCTGCCTACCTTGAGGTGGTCGAGGGGGACGTCGTTGTGGGAGGAGTGGAGCCGCCCTCGCAGGGCCCCATGTTTGGCAGGGCTGTGGGCAGTGGACACCGGCCGAGGCTGAGCGAGTGGACGGCCCTTGGGGTTCCCTCCAAGCTGGCCGCATCCTGATGGCCATTTCCTGCAGTTCCAGGGTCTCCCTCAGTTGCTGTAGTAACCTGGGTCCGGGGCCTCGGTGGTGCTCCTGATGTCCCTCACCCACCCCTGAAGATCCCAGGTGGGCGAGGGAATAGCCAGCGGGATCACAGTCTTTCAGCTAACTTACTGTACTCCGTGAGTATCCTCGCGTCTCGGTCCTGTGCACCTGCCACCCCGCCCCTGCCATGGCACTGCTGGGTGGTCTTCGTGTTTTTTTGTCTTTTCCAAATTGCTGCCAGCCACTGTTCGCTTTTGCTTTGAGGGGTTCACTGTTGCCGTGGGAATGGGGTTTGTAAGATTGGGGATGTGGCGTCATCTCCCCGCAGGATAATCGGCTGAATGTAACAGAGGAACTAACGTCTAACAACAAGACGAGGATTCTTAACGTCCAGTCCAGGCTCACGGACGCCAAACACATCACCTGGAGGGTAGTGCTGCGCGGCGGCAGCCTGTACATCGAGATCCCAGGCGGCGCGCTGCCCGAGGGGAGCAAAGACAGGTGAGGGGGCTGCCACCCTCCCTGCTTTGTGGGAAGGGAGCTCCCTTTTTAAAGTGTGCACCCCCAGGAGTCCTGCAGCCCCCATGCTGGGCAACCTGTGGGAGCCTTTCCTGTTGCCATGGTGGGTGGGGTGAGAGCGGGCGCAGCGGCCCCACCTCAGCCAAGAAGCCCCCGGCAGTGGGAATAAGGGGGGCGGGGGTGGCCTGGCGGGGCATGCTGAGGGCCGGCTCAGTTTTGCAGTTCTCCTCGAGTTTGCGGAGGAGCAGCTCCGCGCCGACCACGTCTTCATCTGCTTCCACAAGAACCGTGAGGACAGAGGTAGGTGCCACCGTCCCCTCCTGGTCCCCGGGGAGGAGAGGGTGGCGGGGTGGGGTGGGGGTGAGGCCTGCCGGACCCTGGTGTGACAGCCTGTACCCCACAGCTGCGCTGCTCCGTACCTTCAGCTTTCTGGGCTTTGAGATTGTGAGACCGGGGCATCCCCTCGTCCCCAAGAGACCCGACGCTTGCTTCATGGCCTACACGTTCGAGAGAGAGTCGTCAGGCGAGGAGGAGTAGCAGCCGCGCGGCCTATGCTCCGCTCTAGGGTTGGGGCTGGAGGCCCGAGCCCTTCCCTGGCAGCCCCTGGTGTCACCGCGGGGTGGGGTGGCCGCTGCTGCGCTGGGGATGGAAACGTCAGACTTGTTCATCTCTTCTGGGTTTGTCGCATGTTGTAATTGTGCAAATAAATGCTCACTCCAAATTAGCGGTATATTTCTTGAAGTTTAATATTGTGTTTGTGATACTGAAGTATTTGCTTTAATTCTAAATAAAAATTTATATTTTACTTTTTTATTGCTGGTTTAAGATGATTCAGATTATCCTTGTACTTTGAGAAGTTTCTTATTTGAAGTCTTTTGGAAACAGTCTTAGGTCTCTTAACTTGGAAAGATCGGTATTAATCTACCCTTCTGCTCAAACATCCGAATAAAGTGATCACACCTCCAAGACCGCGTTGCTGGTGATGTTGCTGGGGACTGGGAAGGGCTGCCCTGGGTGGCACCTGTCTAGAGAGGATAACTGGGCCTGTGGCCTAGGCCAGGCCCACGCGCTCACTCTGCAGTCATTGCCAGCACGGCTGCCACTCAGGACCCTCAAGCCTCACTTTCTGACCTTCGAATTGGCCTTGGGGCCCCGTGTCCCCCAGTCTCTCCTGGGGGGGCCTCGCAGCGCTATGCTGGGGACAGGAGCCCTCCTCTGGTGGTCACCTGGGCTGGGGTGGGGTAGGCAGGAGGTGGCACGCAGAGGCGAAGGCCTAGAGCTCTGGGCTCCGGTCGGGGCCGACTGTCACTTCCGGCCCGTACCCGCCAAAGTCCACGTGGCCACAGCGCCACCTGCCGGCCGCATCCGGGAGCGCCGCCCATTCGGGCCTTGGCTCGGATGGGCGGGGGCGATGAAGGGGTCATTCTACAAGAGGAGGGAGCTCTTGGAGGGTGGGACAGACCTGGAGGGGTGAGACATCCAGGCATACGAGGGACAGTGGGGTTGGCTGTGAAAACAGGGCCGGACACATGCTTTCTGCCCGTTTGGACGATGCAAATGCAGGGAAAGGGCTTTGGAGCCTAGGTGTTGAAAGTTGAACAGGAGTCTGAAGCAGAGGGGAGGAGAAGTAACTTGGGTAAAGGACTAGGCAGCCAGCATGTGGGGTTGGCCAGAGAGAATTTGCAGAGCCTTTGCAGGAGCCCTGTGTATATCCTGAGGGCACTAGAGAGCCATGGGAGGTGTCTGAGCAGGGGAGGAGCCTGGTCATACCTGGGTGTTAGATCCCCCAGGATTGCCGGGGGGTGGGGGTGGGATGGGGGCATATCAGGGAGGAGGCCTCAGGCGAGGTCAAAGGGACCCTTCAGAGCTCCTGAGTTCATATTTCAGAGGTGTAAACAGAGACCCCTGAGGAATCTTTGCCCATTTGCTCATTCTATCGTGTTAGGCTACTAATTGAGCACTTACTGTATGCCAAGCCTGGCCTTGCCCTCAGGGAGCTCACAGCCTCACAGAAACTAACAAATACACCAAGTGGTGACCACCTGCTGTGGCAGGGAGAGAACAGGGCTAGCAGGCAGCACTCGACTGGAGGGGTGACTTTATTTGCTTACAGGAGGGGGACTGGAGCAGTCTGGCAGAGGAACAGCCCATGCAAAGGCTTGGAGGCTGGAAGGAACAGGGAGGGGGTCGAGGGGTGGGGAGAGTAGGAGGTGGCAGGGACAGCATGAGAGGCTTGGGGGCAGGAGAGTCTGGACTCGCCCTGGGTGGGCTGGGTGTCTAAGGTCCCAGGGAGCCCCCCCCAGCCTGTGAGCACCAGGCAGCTCTGCACAAGGGACTGGGATTGGGGTCGCTGGCCGTCCTAGGCACGAGGGTGTGCTCCAGGACCAGAAATGCCTTTGCCCTGGCTTTGGAAGGACAGCGTCCACACTCCCATGGAGACAGTGACCGGCTGGGAAAGTGGGACATATTCAGAGAGACGTTTATTGGCAGGGTGTGTGTGGCCCTGGCATCAGAGAGGTGCCCTGGAGCGGGCAGTTGCACTCTTGGGGAGCCCTGGGCCTAAGTCCCCAGCATAGGAGGGGGCAGGCATTGGAGGGGCCCGCACTCTGTGTCGTCTATGGTGGAGACACAGGGGGCCATCTGCCAGGTGTATCGGCTCCGGGTTGGGGTCAGTCCCACAACAGCACCAGGGCCTGGCTCAGCAAGGCCTCAGTGGCCTCGGCCAGGTACTCACAGCACAGCCAGTCCTCCAGGCCGGGCGCCTCTCCACCCGCGGCTTGCTCGGCCAGGTGCAGGACCAGCAGCGCACGGCGCGCCCGCAGCCAGGGCCCGAGAGGGGCTCCGCGGCCGCGCAGCTCCGGCCCCGGCCCCCACAGCAGAGCCTGCAGCGCGCGGCGCGTCTGGGCCGCAGAGGGCCGCACTCGGGGCAGCTGGGCCGCCAGGCGCTCCAGGCCCGCAGCCAAGGGCGAGGCCAAGGGCGAGGCCAAGGACGCAGCGGGGCCCAGCAGCGAGCGGAGCAGGCGGCCCAGCTGCGGCGCGTGGGTCCCCGGGGCTCCCAGGGGCCGCCGACGGACGCGGCCAAAGTCGGCCAGCAGCAGGCGCGGGGGATCCGAGGCCACGCAGCCCCGCGGCGCCACCAGCAGCAGGTTTTCAGGCCGCAGCTCGGCCAGGGCCACGCCCTGCGCCTCCAGGCACTCCAGGGCGGAGCTCAGCTGCAGTAGCAGTAAGGCCAGGGCCCAAGCGAACTCCTCCGACCGCTGCGCGCGGACCTCCGCCAGCCACTGGGCCACCGTGCGCTCGGGCACCTCTGCCGCCAGCACCGCAGGGCCTCTCCAGGGCGCCCCGGGCAGTGTGTCCTCGGGCACCAGGCCACACAGCCCCTGCAGGTTGAAGTGTGGGGGCAGGGAGGCCTGCAACTCCAGGCCCCACGGGTGGGGCACCTCGGCTCCGGGCTTGGGCACCTGCAGGGTAGAGGGGGCGTCAGGGCCTGGACCACTAAGCCCCCAACCAGCACAGTCTGCCCCAGTGCTCTACCTGCCCTGAATCCTTCCCCGCCCACCCCCAAATTGCCCCTGCCACGGCTGGGGGTGGGGGGCTGCTGCATCACCTCCAGAAACAGGGGTCAATGTTAATTCGGGTCTTAGTCACAAATAATGACTTTCAGGAAAATTAAACCAGGGAGGGTGGTATTGGGGGTTAAGGTGTGTTTGTCAAAGGGCCAGTTCTTCCTGACCACTTGGTAAGGAGGGACGGACGTGTCAGCTGCTGGCCAGAGCTGGGCTGTCCAATACCAACAGGCCACTGGCCATCATGACATGGAACATTTCCCCATAGCCACATTGGAGGGAAAAGTGAAATTAACCCAGGTGAAGCTAATTCTCATAATACATTTTATTTAACCCAGTAGATCCAAAGTACTCTCATTTCAACTGGCCCTTCAAAAATATTCAGATAGGTACATAACCATTACTAGTATAATTTTCGATACTGAGACTTCCAGATCCACTGTGTATTTGACGCCCGGCATATCTCGATTGGGACCAGCCACAGTTCAAGTGCTCAGAAGTCACACATGGCCAGTGGCTGCAATGCTGGACAGTGAAGCTCTTTCTAGAAGTCAGCTGGGCGTTACATTAGACTCACCTGGGGTGGGGGTATTTAAAAGTTACAGTTGCCGGGATGGGGATCTGGGGGTGAGTATTTTAAAAATAAACTTGGCCAGGTGCAGTGGATCATGCCTGTGATCCTAATGATTTGGGAGGCTGAGATGGGAGGATGGCTTGAGGCCAGGAGTTTGAGACCAGCTTGGGCAACACAGCAAGACCCCAACTCTACAAAAAGAATTTTGTTTTTCCTTTTTTTTATTTTGTAAATTTTATTTTTTCATTTTAGTATAATAGCATTGGTAATTTGTTTAAAATAATAATACAAGCCGGGCGCGGTGGCTCACGCCTGTAATCCTAGCACTCTGGGAGGCTGAGGCGGGTGGATTGCTCAAGGTCAGGAGTTCGAAACCAGCCTGAGCAAGAGCGAGACCCCGTCTCTACTATAAATAGAAAGAAATTAATTGGCCAACTAATATATATATATATAAAAATTAGCCGGGCATGGTGGCGCGTGCCTGTAGTCCCAGCTACTGGGGAGGCTGAGACAGGAGGATTACTTGAGCCCAGGAGTTTGAGGTTGCTGTGAGCTAGGCTGACGCCACGGCACTCACTATAGCCTGGGCAACAAAGCAAGACTCTGTCTCAAAAATAAAATAAAATAATAATACAAAAAGCAGATTCCTGGCCGGGCACGCAGTGGCTCATGCCTGTAATCCTAGCACTCTCTGGGAGGCCAAGGCAGGCGGATTGTTTGAACTCAGGAGTTTGAGACCAGCCTGAGCAAGAGTGAGACACCGTCTCTATTAAAAATAGAAAGAAATTAATTGGCCAACTAAAAATATATAAAAAAAATTAGCCGGGCATGGTTACGCATGCCTATAGTCCCAGCTACTGGGGAGGCTGAGGCAGGAGGATCACTTGAGCCCAGGAGTTTGAGGTTGCTGTGAGCTAGGCTGACACCATGGCACTCTAGCCCAGGCAACAGAGTGAGACTCTATCTCAAAAAAAGCGGATTCCTGCCCTCTGAGAGGCGTAGGAAGGGATTAAAATGTTGGTGGCCTCACACTTTAGAAACTTGGTTCCAAGGGTTGAGTGTTGATTCATATGCTAGTTGCAAGATAAGCTACTGAGCCCAAGCTGAACAAGCCCCGGGGTATGTCTAAGACGGGAAATCAGGGAGACCTCCGAGAAGGTGGGGGTGGGGGGCGGGGGGCTCACCTTGGCAGTCAGGATGTGCCACGTGTCCTCGTGCACCCGCACCACCCGGTAGTATAGGGCGTCCCCGCTCTCCACTCGGGGCGAGCTGTCCAGGAGGCGGAAGCCGTCGCCAGGGCAGCAGGGGCCAGGGTGGCCCCCCATGAGCCGGGCCCCAAGCAGGGCACGGATGACGCGGAGGCCCTCCAGCTGCCGGGCGGCCAGCGCAGCGAGCAGGGCCTCGGGGCTGCGCAGGTCTCGGGCCAAGAGGCCGAGTGTGGCGTCAGGCATGCTGAAGGTCAGCTCTGAGGGGGGGCAGGCTGGCCCGGCCTCGGCCTGGGTCTCGTCCACACTGTGGGACCCTAGAAGGAGCTGCCGGGGCTGCTGTGCCCTGGCAGAGCTGGGGCTGGGGGCCCCGTGGGTGGGCAGAGACTGCGTCCGGGTTAAAGTCTTCTTGGGCAGGGGTGGGGGCAGGGGCTCCAGGTCTGGGGAGGGGGACCCAGGGGTCCGGGGGCGGCAGGCCTTGGAGGGCAGCAGGTGGGCGCGGACCTCACCTGTGGGGTGAGAGAGTGAGGATGTTGAGGACTAGGTGGAATGTGGGACCCTGGACATGTGACTCCACCCCTCAGCCTCAATTTCCCCATCTCTAAAATGGAAATAATACCCAACCGCCCTGTACCCTCTGTGATGCCAACCGCACGGTATGGAGGGGAGAACTGAGGCTCAGAGGAGGGACGGGGCAGTGGCAGAGAGTCCTGCCACCCAGTCCCGGGTGACCGTTTCCTTGTGTGGCTCTGGGCAGGTGACTCACTTTCACAAGCCACTGTTCCCAGTGTCCCCCAGCCTGGTCCCTCGAGGCGCTGCTCACCGAGGTTGCTGTACGTGGGCTGAGTGGGCCAGGTGGGGCCATCGGGCTCGAGGGTCTCGGGGGCTGGCTCGGGGCTGGTCATGTCGCTGGAGAGGGGTCAGAGGTGGGGGCCCGTGTGGAGTGGGCTCCAGCTCTGGGTCTGCGTGTGCTCGATGGATGCTGTCGCCCGGGCTGGGGACGCTCCAGGCCCTCGGGGAGGGCAGGGGCACCCAGACTCCAGCTCCCCTGCCCAGCGGCCTCCCTGCAGTGTGACCCCGAGTGTTTCTCTCACCCTCTCTGGGGTCACTTCCTCATTCATGAGACAGGAGTGCACCCATCAATCTTCACTGTGGGCAGGGCCGCCCTGTGCATGTGGGGCAGGAACAGAATGTCCAGCCCAGATGACAGGCTGTCTGGGGTCATGGCTCAGATGGGCGACAAGACACACGGACCCCGGGACCGACCCTCTGGCCTGTCCCCATGAGCTCAGCCGTGCAGTCGCCCACAGCAGCCAGCGCCCGGCCCTCCCTCGCCACACCCCCAAGCTCAGAAAGTGGCCGCTTCTGTCCAGCCGCCCTCCGGGAGCCCCTACCTTCAGACCACAGTGACTTCGGGGGAGAAAGGGTCTGTCTCCTGGGAACAAACTCCTGATGGCTGCAGCGCCTGGCCTCCCAGGAGGGGTCTGGCCGGGAAGCCAACAGGAAACGTCCATCCGGGCGACTGTTAGACCGCAGCCCGGCGGGGTGGGGCTGGGGCCCCTGCGGGACCCACACAGCCGGACGGGATGGCGTGACATCCCAAAGGAAACAGTTTTGGGGCTGGGGGCGGGATTGGGGGAATGGGAGCCAGGCTGTTCTCCTGCAGGCCACGCTGGGGTGCGGGGCGGGCAATGGGGGCCTCCTGGGATTGGGGGTGGGACTCATCCTCCTCCCTACCCCAGGTGAGGGCAGCCAACCCCGGCCGGCCGGGGCCAGGCCGTTAAGGAGGAAATGCAACCAGGCGCCGCTTCCCCTGTGGCTTTTGCTTCCCTGAGAACTTCGTCCCCTCCTGCGCATGCCCCCTGCCCCGTCCCAGAGCCCTGGCAGCGTGGGCGGGGACCCTCCGGCGCTGTTCCCCGTGCTGTGTGACCGTGGGCAAGTCTCCACCCCTCTCTGTGCTCCAGCGAGTCAAGGAAAGCATCTCCCACATCCCGCCTCGTAACAGCTGCACTTGCTGGATTCTTCTTTAAAAAGTTATCTCACTTCCTACCTCCCCCTCCTCCACTGCCTTAATGCATTTTTTAATAGCAAAGACGTTCTATATATAATTACCATACATGGACGATCAGGAGTGGTTAAAATCTAAGGAGGCATCCTCTGCCACCCCCCGCCCCCGCCCACCTGTGGAGTGGGCTCATAACGGGACCCGGCTCCCAGAGTGGTCATCGGTGCGAAAGGACAGTGTCTGGAACAGCACCGGGAACAGCATGGGCGCTCCCGAGGTGTGACCTCCAAACATCGTCACCATGTGCCACTCTTTCAGAGTCAGCTCCCCCATGCCGGGGACCCTAGCAGTCCCCTTATCCCTCAGGCCTGCCCCCAGCCATGGGAATAAAAAAGAAAGCAGAAGTTTGTTATTAAATTAGTTTCATTTTTTATTGGATTTTAACCAAATACAGCAGGGGGAGGTGGAGGGCGAGTGGGGGGTTGGTTCAGGTGGGGGCCCTGGGGGGGGCGGGGGCTGTGAATCCCACTGTACTGACGCCTGCAAACCCGAATGCCACGGAGAACGCGCCCCCTCCTGTCTTTGATGATCTAAAGGCACTTGGATGTCGTTTTTTTTGTTTTTTTTTTTTTTTTTTGAGGGGCCTTTGGGGTTGTCATGGCAACCAGGGTCAGGTGGATGCTGGGGGAAAAAATAGTTCTGCTCAACTCGGGGGTGGAGTTTGGGGGTTGCAGGGTCTTCACCCCTCACTCAGGGCCAGTCCAGGGGCCTCCCGACGCCCCCAGCCGCAGCCTAGGGAGAACAGGCTCCACCTGAGTCCTCTGCTCAAGGCCCCAGGATTGCGCCGGCTTCCTCTCCGGCCGTCATCGCAGCAGCCTAGGGGGATCCGGGTCCAATCAAGCCATGGAGCCCATCTGCGGGCCTGGCCTCTGAGCACAGGGCGACCGGTTTGACCCTCAGACCCACTTCACAGACGAGGACACTGATGGTCTGAGCGAGTGGTTCTCAGTGGGCAGCTGAGACCGCAAAGCTGGGTGGGAGCAGAGCTGGCTTCGAGCCTCCCGGAGAGTCCTTTGGGACCCTGTCCTCACCTCCCAGTGGCCAAGCCCCTTTCTGGCCAAGGTCAAGCCCCATGATGTTTCCTGGGCCCCTTCTCCCAACATTGTCCTAACTGTCGCCTGGCCAAGGTGAAGGGTGCAGGGGCAGGAATCTGGGATTGGGGAGGTTGGGTCATGGGTGGTCCCCATCTGGTGTCTGAATCTTGCAAAACCTCAGCTCCTGTTTGCTTAGCCCTGGTGACGGGGAACTCACCATCTATAGAGCAACAGAGCAGTGACCTTGGGGAAGCTCTTCCTTAGCTGAAACTGCAATCTGCCTGTGACCCCCACTCTGGTCCTAGGTCTGCCCCACTCTGAATGTTGCAGAGACCAAGGACTCAGGTCCAGGCCTCCCTATAGTGTGAAGCCCTTGCTCTGTCCTTGTCCCCATTGCTGCCCCTGCGGTGCACATAGCAGGGAACTGAGAACCACCCACGCTCTCTGATCTCATTCTGCACCGGAGCCATGGGCCAGCGGGGGCTGGGCATGAGGGGCCACACTCAGGGCTTGTCCGAGGCTGGCTCAGGGTCAGTGTGTACTCAGGGCTGAAGGTCCCTCCAGCTGGCTTGTTCAAGGGACACTGACACCCCAGAAGCCATGCTCGTGGGCCAGGGGTCAGGGCACCTGCCTGTCCCGTGTGGGGTGGGCACCTTCTTGCTGGCTGCCCCACGGAAGCAGGTGGCAGCCGAGGGGGGGAAGCTGGGAAATGGCTTCTTCTAGTGGCGGCTCTGCTGGGCAGGGGGCCCAGGTGGGAGGATGGAGAGCAGGGCATGGGGACCCCTGACAGGGACCACCTGGGGAGTGCTGGGCCCCTCAGGCTGAGGCTGACCTGCTCCACGCGACCTTAACCTGGTCCCCAAGGTCTGCTGGGAGATGCCTGGCTCAGCAGGACCTGGGGTGAGCTGTGCCTGTCCCAGGTGTGAGCTGAGTGTGTCCTTGGTGTGATTTGTGACTGTTCCAGGTGTGCACTGTGTCTCAAGTATGACCTACGCCTGTCCCAAGTGTGAGCTGAGTAGGTCCTGGGTGTGAGCTGAGCCTGTCCCAAGCATGAGTGTGTCCCAGGTTGAGCTGAGTGCAGCCCTGGTGTGAGCTGTGCGTATCCTGAGTGTGAGTTTAGCATGGCCCAGGTGTGAGCTTAGCATGTCTCTGGCGTGAGATGAGCGTGTCCCAGGTGTGAGTTGTGCGTGTCCCAGGTGTGAGCTGCGCATGCCCAGTTGTGAGCACTCACGAGAGCCCTGGTTCCCCCGTGGTCAGTTCTGGAGCCGGGGCCTGGTTTTGGTGGCAGCTGGGTGTGAGGTGTGCGCATGTCACCTCTGAGCTTTGTGTCTGATGGTGGCCCGGGCGCGAGTGAGGTCTGGGTGTGCCACCCACGTGGGAACGGTGCAGACTCCCCTCAGGGCTGTGGGCGCTCGGTGGGTCCTGGGTGTAGACCACCCCCCGGGTGTGAGCTGTGCAGAGGGGCCGGGCAGGGTGGGAGTTCTGGGTGTGGCTGTGGGCCCTGAAGACCCCGGGGTCCCTGAGCTCCCATGCCCCCCATCTCTTCACACTCCTTCCACCCCCACCAGCTCGGCCACCGCAGCAGGGGCAGGAAGACAGGTTGAAACCTTTAGAAAATGTTTGAGAAACTGCAAAAGATGCATCCGGATGAAAAACAGTCCTGCGGTTGGTTGGGTGTCTACAAAAACAACCCGGGAAGTTCTGCCGGGAGCTGCCTTGCAGCCGCCCCTCCCCCTGGGGAAATGCATAGGTAGAATCAGCCCGGCCCTCCCGGTGGGGCGGGACCCAGTGGGGGTGCGGAGGGGGGACCCCTGGGGACCCCTCAGATCATCTTCATGTTGAACTTGCGCGCGCCGCCCTGGCCCGCGGCGGCGGCCGGGCCGTCCACCTTGCGGAAGGAGTACTCCACGGAGAAGTTGTTCTTGTGCTGCCCGCGGCCCCGGCTCCACACGAACAGCAGCAGGAAGCAGAAGAGGACCACGCCGAGGAAGGTGATGCAGCCCATGGCCGTGGACACCAGGATGGTGGTGAGGTCCAGCGGCGCGCGCGCGGCCGCCTGCGTCTCGTTGCGCGCCTCGGCCAGGGTCCGGTTGGCGACCGGCTCGGGCTGCACGGTCAGCGTGGCGAAGTAGGTGTCGTTGCCGCCCGCGTTGCTGGCCACGCAGGTGTAGGTGCCGCTGTCCTGCGGCCGCGTGTCCCGGATCTCCAGGGTGCCCCCGGGCAGCACGTGCGCCCGACCGGCGCTGGCAGCCGTCACCGCGCGGTGCTGGGGCGTCACCCAGGCCACGGTGGGTGCCGGCTCGCCCTCGGCGCGGCAGAGGAAGCGCACGTCGTCGCCCGCGGTGGCCGTGACGTGCTGCAGCCGCCGCTCGCGGATCTTGGGCTTGCGGCACACGAAGTACTCGAACAGCACGGAGTCGGGCAGGTTGCGCAGCGCGTCGCCGCGCACCTCGGCCGGGGTGGCGCAGGCAGGCAGCCGCCCGTCGAAGTTGAGGGTCTTGCGGCGCTGCACGATCCACAGCAGGCGACAGTCGCACGCCAGCGGGTTGCCGTCCACGCGCAACGTCTCCAGCGTGTTCACCGAGTGGAACGTGCTCTCCTCCAGCGTGGACAGCAGGTTGTTGGAGAGGTTGAGCAGGCGGATCTGTCGCAGCCCCAGGAAGGCCTGCGGCTCCACCACGGCCAGCAGGGCCCCTGCCAGGTGCAGCTCGCGCAGGCGGATCAGGTCCCGGAAGGACCCGCGCGGCACCGTGCTGATGGGGTTGTGCGAGAGGTTGAGGCAGGTCAGGTGCTCCTGGTGGCGCAGCGCGGCGGCCGGCACGGCGGTGATGTTGGTGTGGGTGACCGACAGCGACGTGAGGTTGAGGCCCTGCAGGCTGCCCGCGGCCACCTCCTCCAGCAGTGGCCAGTTGTCGATCTCCAGGTGCAACAGCGCCGGGAGCCTCCGGAAGTTCTGGTCCTCCAGGGCGGCGATGGCCAGATGCCGCAGCCGCAGGGCGCCCAGGCCCCGTAGGTGGCCCAGAGACTCTCCGGACAGCGCCGTGAGGTTGCAGCGCTCCAGCGTGAGCTCCTCCAGCGCCAGCAGCCCCGCGAAGGCCCGGCGCGAGATGAACACCAGGTCGTTGTCGCCCACCTCGAGCCTGCGGAGGCTGTGCAGGTCCTGGAAGGTGTAGTCCAGCAGGATGACCAGCTTGTTCTCGCTCAGGTCCAGCAGCGTGAGGTTGTCCAGGCGCGTGAACACCCCGGGCGGGATGAGCTTCAGCTGGTTGCCGCGCAGGCGCAGGACGCGCAGGCGCGGCAGGTTGGCGAAGGCGCCCGGCTCCACGTGCGCGATCACGTTCTCGCTCAGGTCCAGCTCCTCCAGCGCGGGCAGCGCCGCCAGGTCGCCGGGGTTCAGGCAGCGGATGCGGTTGCGGCTGAGCTCCAGCACGCGCGTCTCGGCCGGGATGCCGTCGGGCACGGCGGTGAGCCGGCGGCGCGCACAGGCCACGGCGCGCGTCGGGGCGGTGCACTCGCAGCGGGCCGGGCAGCCCCCGGCCGGGGGCGGCGCCGCGGGCAGCAGCAGCAGGTGCAGGCTCAGGACGCACAGCCAGCAGCTCATGGTGCGGGGCCTGGGCCTAGGGCCGCGCCACCATCCTCCTGCGCACCTGAGGGCGGGCAGGGCAGCGTTAGCATCGGCGCCTGCGTCCCCGAACCGCCCCCCCACCCCAGCGCGCCAGGCCTGGCAGGTGCGTCTCCAGGCCCCGCAGTCCCAGGCCTGGGCATGCGCGTGCGCGAGCGCTGAGCGCACGGAAACCTGCACGAGGACGTGCACAGCGGCAGCACGTGTGACAGGCAGACAGCAGAAGCGGCTCTAATGTCCCCGAGTGGATGACGGACACACACAGCTGGCCCCTCCACACACTGGAACATCACGCAGCCATGAAAAGGGACGAGGCTCCGACACAGGCCACAGCATGGAGGGACCCTGAGGACATCGTGCTCAGTGAGAGACGCCAGACACAGAAGGACACACAGTGTGAGACTCCGTTTATATGAAATGTCCAGGACAGGCAGAGCCACAGGGACGGGACGTGGATTCGTGGTCACCAGGGTCTGGGGAAGGCAGACAGGGTTTCTTTTGGGGTGATGGATTGTTCTGGAATTAGATAGTGGTGATGGTTGCATCCCCTTGTAAATGTACTAAAAACTACTGAATCGTACATTTTAAAAGGGTGATTTCGGGGTACAATGAACACTGTTCCGGTGGTGGGCACACCAAAAATGCTGGCCTAAGCATTAGACAAGATATCCACGTCACAAAAGCACTTATACTAATATTTTGAAATTAATAATATTTGGAACTAATATTTTGGAATAAAAATAAAATAAAGGGGTGATTTTTATGTTATGTGAATTTTATCTCAATAAGAACATTGCGAAAGAAAGGATTGGCTGGACTGAAGAGGAGCCATACACGTAATATAAAAATTTTTGTTTAAAAATCATTCATTCCAGGAGTTGGAGGCCGTAGTGAGCTATGATGACGCCACTGCACTTCAGCCTGGGCAACAGAGCGAGTTTCTCTCAAAAAACCCTGTCTCAAAAAAAAAAAAAAAAAAAAAACCTGTAATGCCACCACTTTGGGAGGCTGAGGCAGGAGGATTGCTTGAGGCCAAGATTTTGAGACTAGCCTGGGCAACATAGCGAGATCCTATCTACAAAAAATTTAAAAATTAGCTGGGTGGGGTGGCTCATGCCTGTAATCCCAGCACTCCGGGAGGCCGGGGTGGGAGGATCACTTGAGCTCAGAAGTTTGAGACCACCCTGAGCAAGAGTGAGACCTTGTCTCTACTAAACACAGAAAAATTAGCTATGCACGGTGGTGCCTGTAGTCCCAGCTACTCGGGAGGCTGAGGCAAGGGTTGGAGGCTGCAGTGAGCTGTGATGATGCCACTGCATTCTACCCACGGCAACAGAGTGAGACTCTGTCTCAAAAAAAAAAAAAAATTATTGAGCGCCTACTGTGTACCAGGCTCAAATACGCCAGTGAATATGTTAGACAGGGACTCATGGGGCTCATGGCTGGAGGGTGGGGACACAGGTAGCCAAAACAGCCCCCAGCCCCCTGAGAGGCCTCACTTGCTAAAAGCCAGCCCCTGTCTTGTCCTCCATGTGTTACCCTGTTGGTCTATCTGGCTGTGTCACCTGAAATTATGGTGTGTCTAAAGCCCTGCTTGCTGTGTCTTCCAAATGCATGGTCACTCCCCAAGGCCTCTGTCTTCATCACAGCTGTCATCCCAGGGCCTAGAACGGTGCCTGGGACTCGATAGTTTGCTAAACATTGATGCATGCAATAAACATGGGCGACAAGGCTGTAGGATGCCCGTTCTGGGCTCTGCAGGGAAGTAGCCTGTTGGGTGACCAGGCCTGAAGGAGGGTGGGACTTCGGGCTGGGAAAGGTGACATTGGAGCTGAGGTGCTGCTGTGGACAGGACTGTGTCTCCCCGAAGGGTACGTTCAAGTCCTACTCTCTGGTACCTGCGAACAGGACCTTATTTGGAAACGAGGTCTTTGCAGATGGGCTCAGGCCACAAGGGGGTTGCACTGGGGTCGGGGGTTCTTGTGACAGAGGGGTCTAGACACACGGAGAGCCGGGCGGAGGGAACAACCCTGCCTGAACACAAGGCCGGGATTGGCGCGATGCAGCCACAGCCAGGCTTTGCTCGGAGCCCCCAGGAGCTGGGAGAGCCAGGGTCCTCCCCGGCAGCCTTTGGCAGGAGCAGGGCCGTGTGGACGGCTAGATTTTGCACTCTGCCCTCCAGAACTGGGGGGCGGGGAGAATGCGCTTCCGTCCTTGAAGCCCCCGGTCTGTGGTGCTTTCTCACAGCAGCCCTGGCAAACTCACAGACCCAAGGGATGAGCAGAAAAGTGCCCTGTGGGTGTCCTGGGGAAGGGCATTCCAGGCTGGGGGAACAGCCTGTGCAAAGGCCCTGAGGCAGAGTGGGCAGCTGGCGGAGCTGCAAGGAGCGTGAGTGGGGGAGGGGTGGGAAGTGAGTTGGGAGGGGTCTCGGGGGCGGGGTGGGGGAGATGGCGTGGACCTGTGGTGACCGGAGGAACAGATGACGCCAACATGCCCTGGGTCCCGGTGGCTGTGACTTCCCAGCTGCTCCCATCTCTCCCGGAAGCCTGCTGTCCCCCTCCCCCGCCCCTGCCTGTTTGGCCACAGCCCAGCTGGGGCGGGGGCGGGGAGGTCAGGGTGGGTAGGGAACAGCACGGTGGCAGCTAGACAGCGAGCCCAGCCTCCTCTGCCTCGTTTGCCAGGCAGCCACTTCCAGCATCTGAGCAGCTGAGCCCCCCCAGGCACCCCCGACACCCTGTGCCCGCGCCAGGCCGTCTGTTTCCCACGGTCCCCGTAACATCCGTGTGGGCCGCTCCCGCCCTCCCCGGCGCTCTGCACAATTTAAGGCGACACGCTCATGGCCCGAGTGGCCGCTTGCTTAGCGCCGGAGACGACGCGTAGGCAACGGGGAGAGTTTGTGTTTGCCGATGTGGCTAGTTAGGATGAGGTCGCGACGGATGTGGGTGGGCCCCGGTCCAGTGACTGGTGTCCTTACAGGACAGAAATGTGGACACAGACGCAGGGGGATGGCCGTGTGACAACAGAGGCAGAGACTGGAGTGATAAGTCGACGAGCCAAGGATTGCCGGCAGCCACCAGCAGGGCAAGGAAAGATCTTCCCCGGAGCCCCTGGAGGCGGCCCGGCCCTGCCGACACCTTGGTCTTGGACCTCTGAGCGCCAGAACCGCAAGACAATCAGCCTCTATGGTTTCAAGCCACCAGCTTGTGGTGTGTGGTGATGGCGGCAGCCCTGGCAGCCTCCTACAAGACTCGAATGAGGACCGATGTATTCTTGACAAAAATTCACAAGTAGGACCAGAGCGGGGCAGAGGAGTAGGGTTTCTGCAATGTTGTCTGAAACACTGAAAAAAAAAACTGGAACTAACCAAAGTGTCCACCAATAGGGGATCAGTCAAGTCAACTGCAGTCCGCGTGCGTTGTGAGATGCAGGGAGATTGTAGGTACGGCTGGGGAAAGGTGGCTGGAATGCGGTCATGCAGGGGGTGACAATGGAACTAACCTTGGTGTCCATCAGTTGGGGATCAGTGAAATAAACTGTGATCCATACCTGTTGTGGAATTGTGGAATGCAGGAGATTTGCATGTCCCCACAGAGACAGTCAGCTGAGACCTAGGGGTGTGTGTGTGTGTGTGTGTGTGTGTTTGTGTGTATTTGGGGGCAATAGAACTAACCTAGGTGTCCATCAGTTGGGGATCACTCAGATAAGCTGTGATCTATGATTATTGTGAATAGATCCCTGTCTGGGCAGAAAGACGGCTGAGATGTCTTTATACAGGGGGAAAAAAAATCAAGGTTGCCAAACACTTACAGATGGTGCAATCCTCTCCATGGCAAAATAAAACGAAATGCCAAACTGAATTCTTGAGCGGGGTGGACACGTGCTTGTGCGCAGATGCCCAGAAAACGTGTGGGGATCCGCACAGCACATGGGGCAGCACCAGCGCGCGGCGGGAAGCTGCCGCAGCTGAGAGCGTGGCCACACCATGAGAAGACGGGGGACCGCTGGTCTCCGGGAGCTCGGCAGCTTCGCCCCGGCGTGGGGACACGGAGGACAGCGGACTGGACGGGGCCCTCCCACGGGACTTGTCCTTAATCCCGACCTGGGCATTGCAGGAAACGTAATCTTCTCTCACTGCAGACTCCCTCCCGGGGCTGCTTTTCTAGGTCATTCTTTCCCGAGCTCTTTCCCCTGGACAGCTCTCGGGGAGGCCGTGTCCCGAGAGGCGACAGGAGGGCCAGAACGGCCGACGGGTCCCCGATTTCAGGCCCCATCCCCCACCTCTGGCAACTTCCTACCTTAAACCTGTCCCGGGTTCTCCGGCCAGCGCCGGGTCCCCGTCCTGGCCTGTGCTTCTCCCTGGGGTCGGGGGCCTGGACCCTCACCCGGGAGAGGGGTCGACAGCCTCAGCGGCCTTGCTTCCGAGGGCTCGGGGCCCTGAGAGGGGGTCTCTTCCAGCCCCCGAATCACACACTCCCTGCAGGAACACAGGTGTTTGGTTTCTCCCCTGCTGGAGAGAACTTCACGACCCTAGAATAAAATTTCAAGTCTTCCAGGCGGCCCACAGACCCTGCCTCCCCTGGCCCTGTCCTCTCCCCACCCTCCCCTCGCCCTCTCTCCCACTCTTCACTCTGCTCCAGCCACACGGGCCTCCTCCCTGAGCCTCCAACACGCCAGGCGCGGCCTGGCCCCAGGGCCTTTGCACAGGCTGTGCCTGCCACCTGGGACACCTTCCCCGCCTGGCTCTCTCACTGCATTTTGGTCACACCTCAAATGTCAATTGCCTGCCTGCTCTGTGTCCCCACCCCACTCTCCCTGGAATGCCATTTGAACTCGTCGAATGCGAGTATTTCTTCCTGGACTGTGCAAATAATGACATTCAACGCCCTCTCCCACCTCCCTGGCCTAATCCCGGCCACCGTGAGCTCCCTCCCCTCAGCGGGAGACCCTCTTGCACCCTGCTCCCTGCTGCCCCAGGGCCTTTGCACGAGCCCTCCCTCTCACTTCTCCTCCTTTAAACAGACTCTC